GGAGTCTTCTACAAAGCCATTGCCAATGACAGAGCCACATAATCTTGTTACATTTCCCAGTCCTTTGAATATGAATATCAATAATAAAAGTAAAAGAAAAGCAGAAGATTCTTCGAATGAGTCTAACGGAAAACATCTCGAAATTCTGTCATCTGATCTTACTAATAATGAAAATAAAGATCATGGCACCCATTCTGGTTCAACTACGAAAGAGGTATCTGATGACATTGACAATATTATGGACATGGAAACTCCTGATCATATTGAGCAAGAAAAATTATCAGAAGGACAAAAAATTCTGTCTAAAGACAATACTGTTGAGACATCGATTTCTTCTAATAGTGATATTTCAATAAATGACTGCAGTAGTGGGGAATTATGTAAAACAGTTGGTAAAGCGGAAAATCATGATAGAGGTTCTTCACATGAGCAGCAAAATTTGATAATTGATGGCAATCAAAAAGTTGAATTGAAGCCGAATCGGTTTTCAACTCCCCTCCGAATCAAGCTAAAAAATGTAAAAACTACGGATAAGAATAAAAGGGAGGAAATTAAGACAACTCACTCGAAAATGGTATACACAAAGTCAGATTTCCATACTACATGTCACTTATGTGAAAATGCAATAAAACTGACAGAGAAAAATGGAGACACCATATTAACATATGATGGTTATTTATACACAAAACTTTTTGTGAAAGGAGATAACGTACACTGGATATGCCAAGTTCAAACTGTATTTAATTGCAAAGGCGCTCTAGTAACGAATGTAGCACATACAAAAGTCAGGGGTGGTAGCACCCATTGTCATGAAAGAATATCATCAATTACCACAAAATCATGCCCAGTGGCATCGTTTTCTTGTATGTGTGATGCAGAGATAAAATTTGCAAAAACGAGACAGGGCGGACAAAAATTAGTATTCGCTGGATATACATACACCAAGAAATGTGCAAAAACTAATTATATACGTTGGGAATGTTCTGGTAGAAGAGGTTTTTCCTGTAATGGAACTGAATACAAATATAAAAGGACAATCGATACTCTCTTTCAATGTTCATACACATCCTCCAACAGAGCATATTCATGATGATATTATTCCAACATCATCTGAAAAAGTAACACAAAAACGTAAACGAAAGGTTAATAGTAGTAAAGAGAAAGATACTTTAAAGGATTTGGTTGATGAAATTGAAAGAAACACTTCAAAATTCAAAAAATCAAGAACTCACCGCATAGATTTATCACATAAATCAAATAACACTTTAAAAACTGATGAAGACAGCTCAGATGTAATGCTAGAAAACTGTTTCAATTCAACAAATGGAAATAAAATAATCACTAAGTGTTTGAATAAAGTACTGAACAGTCCACCAAAAAAAGTTCAAGTATCACTTGCCAATGCTGATATTACTTTTCACTCTGAATGTGTTGTTTGTGAATCCTCATTAAATCTTTTTGATGACGATAATGGCGATAGTATTTTATCACATGATGGTTATAGTTACTCTAAAAGCAGTTTAATCAAAGGGATATTACATTGGTCATGCGCTCTGAGAAAAAACTCACATTGTAAAGGATCTATATCAACTGATATTGAATGCAGAAGAGTTTTAAGTTGTTATGCCCACTGCCATCCACACACTTTATCTGGCCATAGTGGCTTTATGTCTTGCCCTGTTATTGCACAATCAATTTTTACTGACTCTAAAATTGAATCTATTGCAAGTGGCAAAGGGGGTATAAAATTGTTAGTACGTGGTTATACTTACACTAAAAATGTGGTAAACTTTCTACGATACGGTGGGAATGTTCAAGAAGAAAAGCATTAAAATGTAGAGGCTCCATCACAACTAATATTGATGGCACAAAAATATTTGGATTTAGCACTCACTCACATTCAGACATGGATAACAGATCTGAAGTTTTCAAAACAAATACTAAGAAAAAGAAAGATCTAGAATCCGAAACACTCATCGACTCTGCTGCACATGATTTGAAGTCAAAACCTAAATTGTCTGTTGGTGATGACATGGACCAGGATAAGCTACCAGATACTGTTGTGGTATACTGTGATATTGACTGATTGAATGAACCCATTCCACAATGGTTTACAGGAGATATATTTTGTAGATGCTTCGAATCAAAATCCCTGTTTATTAGAATGTGTGATTACACAATAAAAGCTCAATTTTATAAGTCAGATTTAGCATATACAAGGTAAAAACCACGGCAGTTTGGAATATATTATAGAGCAGTGGTTCTCAAATATTTTAAGCCGCGCCCCCTTTTTAGAATTTGTCTCGCACTCCACCATAAAAATAACTATCTATCCATAAGCTACAAACAACAGATAGCAAGGCGAAAGTATGTTTTATTCAAAAAACACGTTAGAAATATGTGGATGGAACGTAAATAATGAAATAAATGAAATGTAAATACTCAAAAAGGCGGGCAAGATCAAATCTAACAAATATTTTCATTGTTAATTAGCTTCACGCCTCCTCAAAAAATTGTCTACCGGTATGCCCCCCTTAATGGGCACGCCCTATTGTTTGAGAACTACTGTTCTAGAGTGACATTACCATTTGTGCAACGCGTTATGTATCCTTTGGTTACAATAATTTTTAAAAACAGAAGTGTTGAAAAATTTTTTGTAGAAGTAATCCAGAAATTTATAGGTTCTGTTTTTAGAGTTACTCCGTTTTGTTATTTTCGCTGGAAAGTGAGAACATTCATTGAGAACTTGAAGTCGGGGTTTTAGAATATCGTGCCTTAATCTTATGAAGATTCTTGTTTCTTCCACGAGGGGAATATGATAAAAATTGTCGGTTTGTATGAGTTTAGACCGCCGGTCCTCAACATTTTCAAATGGGACACAAACTTATTAAAAATTGCTTATTGATAGATAATCAAAAACCGGTAATTTTGATTGGTGCAGCAATGAATGATGATGCTGTTTTTCCCTACTGAGTGGTAATTTAGATTATCAAAGTGGAAGTTGAGAACGACTGGTTTAGAATATTGTCTTTGTACTGAAAGGGTTTAATCATTCGGTATGTGTTTTAATTTGCAGTCTTGCATTCAACTTTTTTGAATCATATTTCTTTGCAATACACCTATAGATGTAGTCATTCGAATAGATAATACAGTTGAATATTGTATTTCAACTTTGATTAAACAACAATATGTGTGCAATGAATGAATATGTCAGTTTTAGAACGTCGTTCACCATATTTTTATAGTCAAGCTATAGCTATAATATGTGCCATGTCAACTGTGTATAACTATGATATTTGACAATATTCTCCTATTATTAGTTATTCAGAAGCTTATGTCCTATTTTTGAATTTCTTATTATGCTGTTTGTATAGCGGTTACTTTTAGATTTGATTTTGCATCTTATTTTTGTTGACATGATGAAATTTGTACTATGATAAAATTTATTGTTGAAATTTGAAAAATCATTTTTTTAGATATATTGTGGTGGAGATTAGTCTTTATTTGTGTTAATAATGTTTACTATTTTATTGAAACATAGATTGTGGAATATTTTCGGATTTTAGTCACTATCTTGAATGCTTTTTTTTTCATAACGTTTTCTTTTTCTTGGATATGCTTTTATAATGTGGGTTGTTGGGCTATTACTTATATGACTAATGTATTATGTCACATTTTCTTAACAAGCTTATTTTAAAAACTTAGAATATTCAGTTGAAGCTGTTGGCATTCCATTTTTTTGTTAAAATTCAAGATCTTTTAGAAAAAAAAAATTTGATTAGAATTCATAAGCACTGCCCTAATAAGAAATTCACATACTACACATTGCAAAAACTTCGAATTAACTTGAGTAATTTGATTGTTATCCATGACATTATTAAAGAAGTACAAGTGTAACTTGTAGATATTCATGTTTTTTTTCTATTGCTATCTTTCATATGTATGCTTGCCTTTATTAAATGTTGTTGGGTGATGCTTGAGTACCAAAATTTTTCATAATATAAGCTTCATTTGAGGTTTTGCCTACTCAACTAGAGTCTCTATTTTTATTTGTATAAAAGGGAGTCTTCAAAATAAATTGTCATTGGAATATTGACAGAGATCTTGTCATACAAGATAATAATGCTTGTCATTGATAAAATACTAAATGTTTTTTCACATTTTTATGTGCATTTATGGTTATTTTTTTCAGACAGCTATTATGCTTATTGAATTATTAAATTAGTAAAAATGTCATTTGGCAATTGGATGAACAAGAATCAGGTGCAAGATATTCCTCCTGTACCTCCAGGATCTGGTTTATTTTCTTCACCATTGGCACCAACACAGCCTAGTGTATTTGGTGCTTTTAAACAAAGTGGGGAATCATCCAATGCTGGTACATCTACTGGTTTAGGTAGTCTTCAATCAAGTTCTCTGTTCAGCACAGAGCAAAGTGGAAGATTAAGCAATACAAGTAGTTCATCTACATTTGGAAGCAATTTTGGTGTGCAGAGCAGTCAAGTAAATGTGGTTGGAAAACCCACTTTATTTGGGACCTCACCCCGACAACAAACAAGCGTCGGGTCTGTATTTGGCCAATTTGGAACTACGAATGATAGTGAAAAACCGTTCCAGCAAGCTGCCGTCACTGAAAAACGAGATCCTTCTGTTTCCTCTTTATTTGGAGATGTGAAATCAACTTCTTCAGTTTTTGGTAAATCTGGCTCTTCATTCAGTCATACACATACCAGTCAAGAGCAAACAGTGGCTACCACATCACACTCTTTTACCCTTTTCCAACAAAATAAGACTAACAACACTGCATCTTCTCTGTTCGGATCTAATCGTACACAAACGTCATCATTAGGAAGCTCCAATATCTTCGGCACTATTTCAAAACCGTCTTCATTTTTGAGCGACTCCCAAACAACAGCTGAAAAATCGCATTCTACAGGTATATTTGGGACATCGCAGTCACTTTCTGATAACAAGCTCCAAGCGAATCCACGACAGTCAGTTATTGGTCGACTCCCAGTGCAACCATCAATTTATGGGAAAAGAAGATCACACATTGAAGAGGTTGGAAATACAGCGGAAACAAGTAATACTGGTATTTCAAAACCTCAGATCAGAAACATATGGACGTGCAAGATTTGAGAAGCGCCTACAGCTTCCTATTTGCAAGGAAATAATACAAAGAAAGCGTTCCTATGATCAAGACACCACACAAGAATCACTCAGATCCAGTCCAGAAAGTCATGTTGAAGTTGGAGAGGCGTCAAGAAAAAAACGTACAATGCAGATATCGCAGAACCCGGCATTTCATCAAATGCTTGTTGGATATAAGAAAAAACTGGCAAAACAAAGAGGTGATGAATCAGACATAACGAGGCAAGATAACTTAAGTGGAAAGGCAATTGCACAACCTCAATTCAGTAGAGCTCGAGCAAGGCGATCATCATCATCCTCTAACCTTATAGATCAGAGCGCAGCATTACAGTCTAGCGCTATCATTTGCCACAACGTTCCCCCTGATTTAATTGATAACAGAGATCTGCTCAGGAATCATTTTGAAAAATTTGGTCAAATCCTTCGTATTAATATTAATGCAGAAAAAAACACTGCAACTGTAGTATTCAAAACTCACGAAGAGGCTGCTGCAGCTAAAACTGAAGGGGCTTATGTACAACAATCAGATTCTCCAATGAAAATATTCTTTTCGAAAAGAGCAAGAAAATCTGTAGACAAATCTCCTACGCAGTTAAGTGAATCTCAAAACTTGAAAGTTACTTATCAAAGTGGTCACAAAACACTCGCAAGAGTAGCAACTCAACAAGGACACTCTGCTCGATTTCCACCAAAAAATCGAGTGTCTGCTCAGATTTTTGCTAATACTGATGAAGAAAAACTTGGGATATTGGAGAAGATTGATAATTTGCTCAGGAAAAAGGTTGTTCGACAATCAGACATCAAAAAAGCAAAGACAAGTATAGGAACTTGCCCGGACATGTGCCCAGAAAAGGAAAGGTATGTCGGAAATTTAAATGTATTGTTTATTAATGCAAGATTTATTTACAAATGGGATTGCAAAAAAACTATTCACTCATATCTACTTTAACTTAAAACGAAATAAATTACCTCAATATTTGAATCAGAGATGCAGGACAAAATGTTGCGATAATTTGAAAATCATCATCGTTTATTAGGGTGCTTAACGTTATCTGGATAGAACAAAACAGTATCTTATAAAATTTTGGATTCTTTCTCTGCGTGATGCTTATGAATAGACAATAATGGTGTAATATTTGTTCATTGAATTATCATTAAGTAAAGTGCCTAAGCCGCAAGCTCAATGATTCTTTTAACAATTTTTTTTGACGCGTTCATGCGTATCTAGCTGGGTGAGGTGGTTGAAATGGGATTTGAACCCAAGGTTTTAACCTGCTATGCCATCTAACACTTTAATCACAAGGCCAGTACGCCCACAAAATTTGGAGACAGTTATTGCCATATCATACTTTTTTAGGTACTTGAGACAACAGAGAAAACTTCTATCTGCTTATGAAATGGAAGGTGGACTAGTATGTCATTACAAAGCTGTCAAAGAATACAGTCGATCTTCTGCAGACCAGGAAGAACCTTTACCTCATGAACTACGACCTGCGAGTGTTCTGCAAATGACAATGCATTATATTCTTTTGAACATGATGCCGAAATTAAATGAAGGGCAGGTCGCAGACTGGTTCGACTTTGTTTGGAATCGCACTCGGGCTATAAGAAAAGAACTTACAATACAACAATTCAGTGATGTAACTGCAGTACACATCAACGAGGAATGTGCGCGGTTTCACATTTTTTGTGCTCATCATTTGTGTGAAGAAGATAGAATGGTATTTGATCCTAAAATAAATAACGAAAATTTAGAAAAGACAATGAAAACTATCATGGATCTTTATCACGATGTATATTTCTCGCCTGCTCAAGGTCAAGCTGCAGTACCATTGGATAACTCAAATGTAGCAGAAATGTATGGATATTATATCTTACTAAATATCAATAAAACAGCAGATGTACTGAATGAGTTACAGGAACTACCTCCTGAAGTGAGGTATGCGTCAGATGTTGGATTTGCCGTACAAGCATTTATGGCAGTGCACAGCAACAATTACGCCAAATTTTTTAAAGTTGTCAGACGAGCTACTTTTATGCAGGTTAGTCAGATTCTTGTATCTGTAAAGTTTTCCGCCTCAGGATTTTAGCTGAATCTTTTCCATGTTATGATAAATTTTAAATTTGGTATGGTCATGCATATTGGCTTGAGAAAAAAACATACACTTAATAAAACAACTATTGCACCACTAATGAATTACAGTTAATTTTGACTATAAAATATTAGATTACCTGTAGATTCGGACATTCCAAGTCTACCTTCATTTATAAAGAAGATTTACATGAATAGAATCAAAACAATGTGGGAAAAAATAAGTAAATAACCTTCGTTTTTTACAATAAAAAAAAAAATATTGTAGTATATTTCTAATATTCATACATTTTTCAGGGCTGCATTCTTCATCGATACTTCATGCAAGTCCGAAAACAAGCTGCTTCGACAATATGTAAAGCATTTGTCGTACAATCTAATAAAAGGACTGTTCTTTTCCCTGCTGATGATTTTATGAAAATTCTTAGTTTCAATGATATGAAGGAAGTTGGCATCTTTTGTCAACATTTTGGAATAGAAATTGATGCCAACAATATGTTGTTATTAAACAGGTCGGTGAAATAGTTTTTTTGAATTGACTCATCTTAATTGTGTGTGGTCTATGTTAAATGAGCAATATTCTAAAGACAGAGATAGTAGCTGTGCATAAATTTATCCGAAAACATGTGCTTCATAATCGATATTGCAGGCCAATTATCGTATTTTATTGGAAGAAATAATTGAAAAATATATGACTTTATGAAGGGAGATTTGAAAAATAAATTTGGAATGCATGAACTAAAAATTTACCGGTTGTTATCGTTGGAGCATTAAATGCGGTATCTCACAAGTTAGAAGGTTATTCGAAAGATATGGATTTGATTATAAATTGCATCTGTTTTAAAACCGGATGCTGCACAATTTTAGTATTATTAAAATGAAAATGAGGTCTATACAATTTCTTTCAGTATACATGATATTGTTCAATGTAGTACTTCAGTTGGTATTGGTTAGTATATATAAGAATCCAAACTTAGGATATTATCGCACCAGTCACTTTCATATGGCATTGTAGAACTGATTGGAGCTGACAGTAAAATCAGTTATTGCTATTTTTAAAGAATAAATAAATCCTAGATATTGAATTCTTTTCATGGCAGGAATGGTCTTGAAGAGCCTGACTCTTCAATGGCTGAATCAAGGTCAAATCAAGTTCTTGATAAAATCCAAGGTCAAAGTTTGGCCAAATTAATTGCAAAACGTGATATTGCGCCAATTCATCACGAACCTTATTCGAGTTTTGATAAGGATGGCAGGTAGGATTTTTCACAACACATATGTTTCTTGATTTGTTATATAGGATAGGATTTACATAATTATCCCGGGGAAAAGAAAGACGATAACACGGCTTAATGATATGGCCAACCATGGCCTCTTCTCCGGTTACCCGTCCATATCGGGTATGAGATTAGTTAGTCAGTTACCGGTATTTGTTTCCGTAACCGACCAATAGTTATGGGAACCAGCCTGCGGCGGTGAGGATTCCAGCAATTCTCTGTCACTTTATTATCCCCATGCGATTCGAATGTGCAAAACCATGCAGGGTAATGATTATAGGTGCGAAGGGGATCATATTTCTAACACTTAGCATGAAGCGCCACAGTGCCAGGCCTTCGAATCTGAACGGTTTAATACCTCTTTATAAAATTAGAATTTTCGTTTTCATTCTTATTTCAACCATGTACCCTTTCCAAGCCAACCCCCCCCCCCCCCATTTTGAATTTCTCAGCAGTATTTCTTCGATTTCATTTTAATTCGTTATGGTCAGCATAGAGAGAATTTTCACATTTTTTAATTTTTTTTCTACTTCACACCTCCCAGCAATATTTACATTTTGATTAAATTTTTCAGATACATTGGAGAACACACTTCATTGCTGACTTCAGGAAAAATGTCAGGATTTCAAGCTGTACCAAAGCCTGATATACTGGAGCACATGAAGCCAGCAATAAAGGTATATGATTCTGTCATAATTTTACACTTAGGTCAGAGTGTTTTTTTCTGTGAATGTGCAAAATATTTAACATATTTTATACTCTTTCAGCTTGCATTACCACCGGGAGTTACAAATGATCATGTGAAAATATTGGCACGAGAACTTTTTCATGAAGTAATTGATGAGACTGCGTTAGAAATGGCTAAAGAAATGCATGAAGCTGCTACATGCACTGTCATTGGGAAAAATGTGATGGAAGAGGTACTCAATGATTTAATAACAGATACGGCAACTCAGATGAAAAAGTCTGTTCATGATGAAAAAGAGAAAGAACTGAAACAAAAGAGAGAAAGGGAAGAACAAAAACGAAAAGAAGAACTGCTGCGAAAAGAAGAACAAAGAAAAATAGCACTAAAAGAATTGGAAGAAAAACTGGAAAGAGAGAGAATCGCAAAAGAAGAAGAAGAAATGAAATTACAACAAACGGAAATCATCGCTACACAACTACAAACTGAGGTTGAAGATGATATAATAAATACTGTTGCAGAGGACACATATAAAGAAGTTCTTCGTGAGCATAGGATAGAACTTTTAGCCGAGGAGGAATTTGTTAAAATTACTGCTGACGTTACTTTTTCCATGCTGAAAAAATTATGCAACGACACTTATAAAGAAGATAAAAAGAAGCAATGCCATTCTATCTTTTGTGAAATTCAAACGAGAAAACTTGAAAGACTGTTTAACAAGTGGATCAAAGTAAAAGCTGTCAAGGTTAAATTTCAGAATATAACGACAACTTTTCCTAGTGTTCCTTACTCTAGGAAAATTGGTGATCAAGTGAAATTGTTATTGCCAAATCAGAAGCCGTTCTCATTGATTCGAAAGCGCAGCAGTTTTCCACTTGATAGCACAGCGGAAGCATCTCTACGATCACCCATGGACATAATGAGCTCAAGAAAGAGATGTAAAACATACTTCTCTGTGACAACAGAAAAATTATCGGAAATGTATAGAAAAGCATCTGAACCTTTGTTATTTTGTGACCTGTTGAATGATGCCGCAAGTGGAGAAAGTTTCTGGCAGGATGGGAGTCATTCTACAAAAGATGTTTTATGGAAGATAGCAGTTTATTTTCCTGAGACTAATGATGAAAGTGAGCTGCAGAATTGGGTAGAAACAGCTTTTTTAAAAGAAAACGAGAAAATTTGTTTATTTGAAGGAAACAAAAGTCCAAAAAGGGATGTCTGTTGCCGTCGCATCTCAAATAATAGTCAAAGAAGCGATTTAATGGGGACTTCAAGCATTGTACTTATTTTATCCAAGCCACCCACTCATCGAACAATGTATTGGACCCGAGCCCGTTCAAATCTTGAATTTCTAATATCTACTAAACCTTCCATACCCACTATTCCACTTGTGATTGTTTTACTAGATTGGGAACTCGACGAGGACGCTTTAGCCTATGAACTTGGGCTTCCCTTACTTGATTTTGCATTGTCAGATTGGGCATCATATAGTTTGCATAGAGGTCAAGAAAATGTATTGATGAACTATAATAAGTTGACATCGTGTGTTAAATTTTTGTTTCAACGTTCGCCTGATCGGCCAAGTTTAACCAGTGTCAATCTGCTTGACTTCTTTGAAAACACTCTTTCTTCAGAATATGTTACACCGTTATATCATCACATATCTAATAGGCAAAAATCAGGAATGTATCCACTAGATCCAGCTTCTCAGATTGATTTCTATAACTTTGCTATCGAATCTTTAGCTGGTGTGGCAAGCAGTGAGGAATTTAAAGAGATTTCGTGGCCTCCACCCGAATTTGTTGAACCCGGAAAAACAACTGAACTCCCCATACCTGGATGGAATTCAAATGAGAAATTATTACAACACTATGAAAGTATGCTGAGATGTAAAATACCGTGTTTTCCAACTATTGCTGATGATATCACAGAGAATGAAATTTTTGAAATTGTTGCAAAATATGCGGAAGATGTGTGTCCTAATTGTCCCACTTTATTATCTTCTTTGAAGCATGGCATCAACGCAGAACTCCAGAGGCTTAGTTATGAGGTTGATATTTTTAATGACAATGACGAGAGTGGAACTTTTTCTCTTTCAAAAATGTTTGACTGGCATAAAGTGATTGATTTTATTATCAGTCAGCATTTAACCAATCTTTTATATTATGGTGAACTGGGAAATATCGAGATAACTTTTCCGTCTGACATTTTGGACAGTGTGGAAAAACATCCGGGTTTTGATACCCTTTTCAGGGAAACACACTTTCAAACTTTAAATGAAATTGAGAATATGACGGAACCTAAGGCAATGCAACAAACAATTTGCGAAGTTGAAGATTTCAGCCAAAATGAAGTAATATCAAAGTGTGAAAAAAATACTAATGACTCGACCTCTTGGATAAAGAAAGAAAACAATATCACAAACACTGTAAAAGAGACTCAAGATTTACGGGATAAAGTAAAATATGAACAAAAAATAAATGCAGAATATGAGGAAAGACTAAAAGCCATATTGGAAGAAGGTGAAGCGTCTTTGGGAATGTTAGACTCCAGTACAGTCTCTGCGTCATTACTGTCATCACCAGATTTTTCCTTTATTTTTTAATTAATTTTACCTTACTGTTATCATGTTCAAATTTCTTATGTTCCTGAGTAAATTTTTCCTTGTGTATTTATTCTTGGTCTCCTAGATTTCAGGAATGTTTACCGGCATTTGGGTACTGCAGTCTTGAACAGAATTCGCTCCCTATATGGAAGTAAGTTGTTGCGTTAGTTGACAGACATTAGTTTTCTTTCATGCTTTCCAACAAAGCAACAGTTGACAACTTCGCTTTTGGATTCGGTGGGTATTTCATATTTATCCCAGGGTAGAGGAAAGCCATTGGGTCGACCGTGTTCATAACACTTGGTCGGGATCTTTATCACCAGCTTCAGATACAAATTAGCTTTTGTATGAACTCAGAACCTCGATTAATACAAGAGTTCCTAGGGGGCACATTTCTCATTTACCAAACAAACTATCTGAACATCTATTATAGACCTCTAAATTGGTCTCCACTAACAAACCCACATCTACCTATAAGCGCTGGCGGCTAATAGTGTTGAATTCCAGAATCAACATTTGTACAATTTTGTATGTGATTTATTTGCTGTTCCCCGCGCATTTCCAGTAAAGCTTCTCTCTCGGTGCTGTATATTTCAGAATTAACATTCGGACCATTTTATACACAATTCTGCTGCTGGCACCTTTCTAGTAAAGTTTCTCACTCATTTTGTTGCGATTTTTTTAACTGGCCTCTTCCATATTTAACTTGTATTGTAGGATATATAAGGATCGCTAATGCCTGACATTAAAATACACAAGTACAGTTTTAAAATATGTATTACCTATAGAACACAGTACACGATATATGAATAAATCAACGTGGCAGTATGGTGCGAGAGTTTGAAGAAGTTGAATTATCTAGTTGAAAGGATATTCTTTTTGCACATTTTGTGTTATAAGAATTACTTAAATCTCCTGTGGCAGTTCGCTTTGACACCGGACTGTTGCGAACCATTTCATTAATATATTGCAGTTGACTTCCTGGGCTACTAGAAAATTTATATTCAATACATCTGGGGGGTGAGGGTAGTCCACCTCGGAGTGGTGAAATATATAAATTATTTGATACCCGAACTGGAGAATCAAGATTGTTGGGAAAGGGAAAGCCCTTCGCTATTTTTGTACCATCACTTGCTTCTTTTTTCTGCTTGATGTATTCCTTGAAATAAGTTTTCATCTTCGGCAAAAACACTTTATTGTAAAAAGTGACAAGATCCCCTTTAACATCTTTGGAAGTAGTTTTGTTAACCTGTTCTGTGCTTTGTGATGGGCTTACGTCCACAAATTTTGATGTCGAAAATTTTCCCACTGGAGATGGTGTCAAACTTACGGACCTATGAATGTCTGGGTCGCTGTTTGGTAACATCTTGTAGCACTGAAAAATAATCTTGAATTCGAGTGGTTGGACAGTGGGCAAGGCTTTACAAACTGCATAGATAATGCACAGCAATAATTGGTCTAATTTTCTTCCGTACAAAATTTCATAACAATGGTTAGTGAAAGCGTGGTTGAATGTGTTCCACATATCTTGTAGAAAATTGGTGATACATAGCACATCACACAACTCTTTTAATAGCACATATGCATAATTATATGTCTCCAGAAATGCCGCCATAAGAATTGGTTTCCATTTTTTAGGTTTAGATTCCTGTATGTGCTTTGTATCTGGAACACTGGAAGACTTTATGTCGAGATCCTTTTTCAATTCACTTTCTGAAATTTCACATTTTTTACAGTTACTTTTAAACTTTTTCATTATATTTTGTTGAGAAAGTTCCTCCATAGCATTCTTAAGATCCTTAAATGAAGGCAAGAATGTTTTACATTCGTCGATTTTAGACCATATTGAAGAATCTGTGTTCCATATCACCATCTGCATTATGGAAGTGATAATAATTCGTGAGTACTCACTCAGTATTTTGAATGTTGCGTTAATTGAAAGCTTTTTTAAAAACTTTAGACAATCCAATGCTGAACCTTTAAAATGCTTTATCAATAATGTAAGACTAGCTCTGGGTGAAACATTATAGTCCATCAAAGTTAGAGTTACAGAGCATATTTGTAAAGTTGCTTCAAATTCTATGGCTAGACAGTTTGCACCATCTTTATATTTTCTTGCTACCAATTTCTGTGAAAGACAGGAATATAGTTGGATACATCTTTGTGCAATTTCTTCAACACTTTCAGTTACCAAAGTTAGATTTATTATACTTGGTAAACAACGGAGAAATTCTTGCCGTGCATTTTCAACCCTGATTTTGAGGTCGGCATCTTCTTCATTATCGCAAACACAGAGATTGAGAAATACCTTCACTTTCTTTCCATCCATACCGTACTGTAACCAAGTAAGGTGCGGTATCGTACAGGAGTGTTGAAACAGTGGTACAAAAATAATCAATACTATTAAACCAGAGACAATGAATAACAACAAGACGTCAAGCTGCCTTTGTTTATTTATTATAATTCCCGACGATTTGTTGATCACTCTCTGCCACCTAGTGGAGGTTTACAAGCGATTGTCTTCAGAGGTTGTTTGCGGTGGAAGTTGTTTCGAAGTTTTGCAGCATCGCCATAATAGTTATGAAAATATTCTATCCCTTATTTAATAATGTAATCAAGTGTATTTTTTTTTAGGATTTGTTGACCGCTATCTGCCACCTATTGTTATTGTTTCTCCCCTATTGTTATTGTTTCTGAGATCAGTAATCAGTAATTTATTTCTTCACCAAGCTGAAAGTACGAATTATACATACACAAATAAAGGAAAAATAAAAGACCGCATTCCAGGGTGAAAGGAGACGCCGAAAACCAATTCTGGTTATCGAGCGGCGGCACCCTCGGGGAAGTCTAACAAAAACGTGATAAATATAATTAAATCGAACAAAATATATTACTTAATAAATAAATAAAGAAACGCAATCGATGCGTCAAGGCGACCCGGTAAAAACCAAGCAATCGCCGTTTAAAAATAAGAAAATCGACTCCATGCACCACAGTCTAGGTAACCATGGAAATTATTAAGTGAACCAAACAGACTTGCAGTGTGGTCATGGCAGGTAAATAGTTCGGCTACGGTAAAGTGCAAACACAAGTCGATTGTGTGCATATAAGTGTCCAGATTGAAATAAAACTGGATGTTAAGAGTACACAAATTGTAAAAGTATAGAATACCGTACCAATCAAGTATGCAAATAACAAAATATTGACACTTTGAGGCAGAAACAAGCTAGTAGTGTAAAAGCTAAAATGTTGACCTGGACTAACAAGTGTTTTGATGCTGGAGTCAAAGATTCACATTACTAATTAATTTTGAACAAGCAGTTGAGCTCTCTCCATTGGCCATTTATTTTGTTCTATAGCATAAGATTTTCCTTAATAAGGCTGTTCACATTCTGATATCTGCATGCGCATGTTTCCTTTTTTTTCAATGTCGGGTTTCTGATATTCCACATGCGTGAACTTTGTTTTCTGTTTGGGTGGTGTGATTCTTTGTGAGGGTTGTAGACGGTATAATTTAACTCCTGTACCTAATATTGTAATTAGGTGACCAGTCGAGGTATATTTGGATTCTCCCCTACATTTTAACTTGCTGTAGTACTATATGCTGTGTCCTGCGTGTGTACAAAGTTTTTATCCTTGGTCGAATTTATTCTGTGATAGCATGCAAATGCGTAAGGGTTAGTGTGATGTTAATGACTAATGAAGATAATGGCATACATGTGTGTGGTTTGACCGACATCGAAAGGTTTTTGCATGGTTTGTGAACAATTTCTCTTGTGTCCCAACCACAGTCTCTTCTTTCTCAGGTCTTTCAACTAGCAGTCTAATGATATTTAATTAATATTAATCAATATTTACACAATTCAACAACTTCCACTCAAAAGGTGTAGGGTAGTTTTCTATTGATTCCTTATTTGCAATCATTGAATATTGTACTCGCAGATATATTTTTCGTCTTTCAGGACGTCATGATGATCAATTTAAATGCTATCTATGTCAACATGAAAGGTGTATACATCAACAAAACTTGCAGACTGATGAATCATCCGTGATGAATTTGAACTGACCACAGGGATCAACAACCTCAATTAAAGTTACTTGCCTATAATCCATGACCCTAGAAACCTTACTTGAACCTTAAACACCATATATATTCCCTTAACCAATTTTCCTACCTCTGTATCATACCGCCCTAATTAATTTTAATTATGATTACCGGTACTGTTATTGATTAATAGTATTTAAAATAATTTGGACGTTATTTGGCTTGTTGTGGCTTCTATTTGATGAGTGAAGCAGGTCTAGCCCACCTCTTCATACATCCAACTTGGCAATTCTGATTGGGCAATTTGGCATTAGGTGACTCCAATTATAATCAGCTTGACGATATCTTTTGAGGAATACTTTTCTATCCACAATACATTAACTCTTGTTGACTAATTCGGTATCCAATTTGGCAATCCTCATAAAATTATTAATTTGGTGTGGCAAAAGAATTTATTCATTTTTTTTATTTGTTTGTATATTTTCCTTCTTTTTACTTTCAAGTCTCGCTTTTTTCGCTTCCGACAGTATCATGTCTCGATGATTGTGTGTGTGTGTGTGTGTGTGCGTGCGTGCCTTAATTAGTTTTTTTTACTTTTGGGTGAGCGAACACGTACTACTTCTTTTATCAATACCTTTCCATCTAACATCTGTACGTTTCAAACCTTACTCTAGGTTTTGTTCGCTTTCCCGATTCTATAATCAGTTACTTTTGTTTTTATCTATTTTTTTATCGTCTATTGCTGATTATGGAGTCGAAATAAACTTATACTTATACTAGTGGAGGCTGGCCACAAACATGCGGTGGAAGTTGTTTCCAGTTTGATCTCTTTAAGTATGGGAAACAAGTATTGCTGTCCGGGATGTAATAGATGATCAACGCAAAAAAAGCATTGCCAAAATACCACTATGGAAAAATAAAACAGTACAGCGTAATACCGTCGAAGTTTTTAACTTCGGACAACAAATTTAAGCTGGCATATATCAACTAAAATGTGACGGTATTCATGCTCATGTCAATTTTTATTCTAGGATAGGATAGGATTTACATATTTATCCCGGGGGAGAGGAAAGCCGATAAGACGGCTTATCCATATGGCGAACCACGGCCTCTCGTCCGGTTACCATTCCAAGTCGGGTATGGGATTAGTTTTACTGTATTGTTTGTTTTCGGAAGCATGGACTTGGTGGTGGAGGAAGCCGTAACCGACCAGCGGTTACGTGAACCACCCAACGACGGCGAGGAGGAAATAAGTTCTTCATTTCCGGACAACGAACCTGGTGGATCGATAACTTCTGTAAAACACGCATTTAATATAGTACAAGTTGTACGTTAAGATATTCAATCATATTATTCAGAAATGAAAGACATAGTTAACCAAATACCACCAGCAAATTTTTTAATCGCGATGAAACTAACCTCCAAGACAACAAAGGAGAAAGCGACCAATTGTTTTGGATCGAACTCGAAGTAACAGATTAGAAAGGATTCAAGACTCTTCAAAAACTTCAAATTCCACGATGTTCTGCGAGCCAGCAGCTGTCAAATTCGGTTCATAACCCATTTGACCAAGTGTGTAATTAGTCAGACATTTTATTTACCAGTCTGAGTGCCGAGAAGTTTTTGCTATCAATTGACTTATATTTTTTTGTTGTGTATTTGTACTTTGATTAACAAAACAAAATAAACTCCCCCGCTCTCTCTAATGAGAATATTTATACATTTAATATTTAATGCACGACGAAAATAAAATTTATCTAGCCTCCCCGTTAGTCGTTGGGCCTCCCATATAATGATTCGCTTCTGGTTTAATTAATCTCACATCGTCACATGGTGGTACTATAGAGTAAAGTAATTACGGGTTAACAGTGTTGAGCTCATATGTCGTATATCTTTATCTGATACCGTATCTGAACGGGTCTGTGTGATTTGTTTTTATTAATCATTTTATTGTTATGCTGATTATGGAGGCGAAATAAACTTGTATTATACTTTTATTATGAATAATGTTACAACATGTTTGGTATTTAGACGTTTGAAATTAGGCTTAGGTCTGTAGGTTACGATATTCATTTTATTGCAACTTGAAAGTCAAATACCAGAATACTGAAACAAGGTACCGGTAACCACCGGTACAGATACCGTGATACATTTCTTACATCTGTACATTGCTATTTCCGTCAGCTGCATTGTGCTGTTGTGAAGCAAGCGGACATCCAACATGGCTGCGATTTTTGAATCGTATGAGCAACAGTTTTCATCATTAACTGCTGAAATAACAAGAAGATTGGGCTCTGTATCTTCATTATATGGGGGTATGTGATATAATATTTACCAGCGCTATCAAATAATGCTGTATTGGGTTTTTAGCTTCGGTAGAATTCATGATTCTGGTCGAACGAAAACGATGTGTCATTTTTTTGCTAAAATGTGATCTTTTTAGTCAAAAAATAAATAAGACTGTGCGATTGAATAAGATAACAGATTCAGAGATACCATAGAATCTGCCAGAAGCACAATACGACACAATTCAGCCATGATATAAACGATTGAAAATTTCATTTGTGTTTCAAAGTTGCAAGATATCCGAAGTTAGTCGTTTTTGCGATGCCTATTATTTCCTATGCAACTGTAATCTAATATCGTTAAAGGTTAGGACTGAATAAAGTAGAATACTTCATTTCCTGAATTATATTTTTGCCCTCATTATTCATTTCAGTTGACAAAAAGACTGTGATAAGCTCAATAGAAAGACAACTTGATGAAGCCCAGGAATTGGTAAGAATATTTGCATTTGCTACGATGCAGAGTTAGGCACGTGGAGGCATAGTGTAACAAGTACAGTTTCTCTCCTACAAAAATAATGTTGATATATTTAAGTGAATTTTGACTGCATCTTAATTAGCTTTGGTCTACTGTCAGACTGTAGGAATGAAGTATGACTTATGTGATTAATTTCTTTTAAAAGAATGATATCATATTAATTTTTCAACAAACCTATGTGAAAAATAGCAGGAAAGATACAGGGCTTAAAATTAAGTTTCAAATGTGATCTCTAACCCCCTTTTCTACCAAGGGCTTATCTGTTCGGACAAATGTCATCAATTTTCATTTAAAAGTAATGGCGGATCGTATCAAAATCATCTAACCCAATTGTCATCACCATATGAGTTCATTCCCTCGTTGACTGCCAATGTCTATTTCATATTTTATAATTTGATGTAAGAAATATTGAATTCTTCTGAATAATTTTAAGAAAGTGTTTTGTTTTTGTCAATTGTCTCAAAGTCGATATTATTTTTTGTCAGTTGGAACAAATGGATTTAGAAGTTCGAGATATGCCCAGTGCTGAAAGAGGAAAACTAATGAGTCGTGTGAAAAGTTATCAAACAGAATATACAAATTTGGAATCTCAGTTGGTGGGTGCTATTTGTTTGCATATTTTAAACCAGTTTTTCTGATCAATGTGTGGGTACTAATCCCTTCCAAGATTCATCACACGCACGCACACACACACGCTGATTCATTTTTTATTTATATTGCAGCTAACAAAAGGCAACCCTAAATATTTAACAATATTTTTCATAATGCCATCTACTTCCTGACTTGTTAGCTGAAAATAAGCATTTTGAGAAAGTGTGATGCTTCATTTGTCAAAATCCTAAAACTGATTTTCTGAATTATTGATGTTTGTTGGAGCCCAGCATGGCAGTCATGCACTGATATACATATTATTTTCTTTTTTGGCAGTTTCGAAGATAGGTTAGTAATTATAGTGTATGGATAACATAAGTGGACATAGTCGATAAATATTTTATTCTCTTGTTGTATTTTTGGTTGTACTTTCATTAAATAATTCTCAAATGATACTTTTTTTGATTTTTGATAAAATAACATCAAACAACTCAATATATTGAGTAATAAAGTATCAATGACAAATAAAACAATATAAAATAAAATTACCAACGAATCCCCAATTTTTCAAGGTGTTCTTTAGCATGCTGTTTGTATTTTGGCGGTTTTGTTTAAAAAGAGCGTACTGAATAGTTTTTCTGTTTCATTCTGATAATTTGTTACAGAATATTTCATCCAATATCGATGGATAAATTATGTACACGAATTCTTCTGAAATAAAGAATCCAAGAAATTAAGTTCAAACAAATATAATAAAGTATATTTGTGTTATTATCTTGAGATTATGTTTGATGCAAAGGTGTGATAATTAATGTTTAGACGGTCTGCTCTATAGAAGTAATCCCAGATTACAGCAGCCAATATATTCCAACCTTTATTTATTCATATACATATTGTTACAGAAAAAGCACAAAACTTCAGCAAAAGATGCCGCAAAAATGAGGGAAGAGTTGTTAGAATATGATGATGGTTCAACGAATGACCAGGTGATTAAATTTATTTTCATTTTCTTTTCAAATATTTGTATGACTCACAAAATAATCAGCTTGGACATATCTCCTAAATCCCTATTTAGAAATAGAATTAACGTTGTAAAAAAAAATATGAATATTAACGCTATTTACATGATAAATAAGATCAGGGACATTTTTATTTAAATGTTGGGCATCTTAGTTTTAAAATATCTTTATTTTTTACAAATTTCAATGAATACCCTGATAGTAATAATAATGTAATGACTGGAACATTACACTATTTTATCAATGCAATCACCATGGATATAGAATATCCAAATCATTGTGTAATATAGATTGATCGTTAAATCCAATTGGTTGCTATTGGTTTATTTTAAGTGTAGGAAATTAGCACAACATCTGGTATCTAATGGGAACCAAAATTATGAATGGCTGGTGATTTAAAAAAAATATGTATATTGAGTTTCGGTTGGATAATCCTGGGTGAATACTCTGGACAATGTTAAAGGCTTTCAAACTCACAAAAGGGTGACACCTAAAAAAAGCTGTTTTGAGAAAGTGAGAAAAACGTATAATTTTTTATTTTTGAACTCTGAAACATCCTTCAAACTATGATTGGATGCCAGCTTAAACAGCACCTATTTCTCTGTAATATTTCCGAATAATTTTTTTTTTCAAAATTTCAACATTTTGAACATTCGAATCATATATATGGTTTGCATCATAGATAGATGAATAGGTTGACTATTGATTTTATAATATACCTGAGTAGACTGATATCTACATAGAAGCATGTATTTATATTATTTCGCTGAATTCGAATTTTTTTTTTATCTTGTTTTGATTTGGTCTTATTACTTTCTGCCATTTCACCATGAAGCTGACTGTTTTCCATTATATTTGACTATATTCAAATCATATATATGTTGAATGGTAGAATATTTTTGTAATGGAATTTCCTCAGTGTTGATATCTCCCTACTCCCTTTTCATTATTTCTTTGTTGTTTATTAACATATGGATTTTCGTTATTGATTATAAGTACGTCAATGTGGATTTGTGTTATCAACCGCTTTATGAATAATTCACATGCTGGAATCCATTATTAAAGATTTTTAATGTAATAATTGTGCACCACCTGCCTCCCAGAATGCGGTTAAATATGTTTTGTACTAATTGCATTTATAATGAATTTGTCATATTTTTCTCATATAGTCTGTTAGAATAGATCATGTTGTGAGCACAGCAATCCAATTATTCCAATATTTGGAATTATTATTTGAATAAATATCCGTTCTTACCAATCAACGATTTATGGAACAAATTCTTTGACCCACCACCGCAAAACTTGAAAAAGCTGTTTTGAGAAAATGTTTCAAACTTTTTTTTGGATTTTTGTTCTTATTGAAATTCTTTGTTGAATATCACTCCAAATTATGATTAGACTGGATGCCAGTTTGAAGAGCACTCATTTTTCATATTATTTTCAAAATATTTTTATTTTTGGAAATTTCAACATTCTCCCTCTTTATCATGAGACCTCAACTCATTTTTTTCTTGAAAACTAAACATAAAATATAAAAAAAATTGAAATTCAACCATATATAAAGATTGAAATGATTTAAAAACTATTTTTACTTAAAGATACAATTTACGATAGAAACGAAAAATTTATTATTTTCGACCGTGGTGCATTCTATACATTTGTTTGAGTGAGTTTGTGTATCAGTGTTTCACAAAGTTGCTGTTCAAAATTCATTGATCAATTTTTAAATGTTGAAATATTTTATTAATTTTGACAGAGAACAAGATTATTAGACAACACAGAAAGATTAGAACGAAGTACTCGACGATTGGAAGCAGGCTACAGAATCGCCGTAGAAACGGAAAAAATCGGTCAAGACGTTATTGATAATTTACACAGAGACAGAGAAACGATAGGACGAACACGGACAAGGGTAAGCAATTTGTTTATTTCTTATCGAATCAAATATGGGTACTCCCGAAGTATGTGAATTGTGAACCAAGACGGAACGTAGTATGTGTACCAGGTTTGGGTCAGGCCATAATTTTACACCGATTTTTCCTATTTTAGTTCTATTACGAGTTCGGAGACTAGCCAAGTGACTCCTGTAATATTTGTACATGAAATTATGGCCTAACCCTTACCTGGTACACATACTACGTTCCTGTGTCCACCATCTTGGTTCACATACTTTGGGAATCCCCAAATAGAAAGGAAGGGCTTATTTGATATAGGCTATGTAATTTTGCATTTTTTTAATCTTTTCTAATTTTTCAGTCTTTAATCATAAAACTGCAATTCCATTATGAATAATTATAGATTTATAATTTTGAATCTCACGCATATTCGATATTGCTTTTCACTTCCCACTATATTTGATATTATTTGCTTGTACTACCCATACATTTTTCATGTAAATATTATACATAAAAACATTTTTCTGTCATCAATATACGATCTTGGTGTAATATTGAAAAGTTCAGACGAAATCCCTTTGGGACCTTGGCTTATGTAATTTACAATAATGCTGCTATGGTGTATTTGTGGTGTGTAAGCTTGAGGATTAGTTTTGTTCCAAATTACCTTGAACACAAGAAACAGCAATGTTAGAGTTCGAAATGCAAATTAATCAAATTGTAGACTTATTTAACCAGCCCAAAGAAGCTAATGCAATAGGTGTAGCAATTTATATGTGAATACGTAACCTTTCAATTCATAATAACGTTGTCTAATTTGTTCCATGCTTCTTTATTTCAATTTAGTTTTTTTAATATCCAGCATTATTTTTAATTTGGTTTTCTCTTTTGTCATAAATTTGAAATATTCTATCTCAATATTTATTAAATTATTACACACATTTTAGATTTGGGATTATTAAGAAATTACAACATATTGAAAAAAGTATGATGTTTTATGTGAAGACGTGTTTTGAAGAATTAAATTTTGGTTGAATTTTTTCTCTTTATGTTTTGGCATTCATCTGATAAAATTCTAATTTGGTTATTTTAGTGAAATTGAGAAATCATATGAAATAATTTAACAATCAGTTATCTTTAATCAAAATGGACATTTTCGTTGCGGTAATATTAGTATCAGCCTATCAGGTATCTTGTAATGGAGACAAAAAAAAGTCAAAAGATATCCTTTTTATTTATTTACAGTTACGCGAAGGGGATGATCATCTAGGAAAAAGTTCTAGGATTTTAAACTCTATGACAAGGAGGTCAGTGCTTTTTGTTTTTTAATAATGCCTCTGTTATAATAATATAGATGTTTAAGTAAAATTAGGAAACTCCTAAATGTTGCAGTCTTGCAGAGTACTGATTTATGTAAAATTTCAGGAAGTAAATTTCTGATCCAGACTAGAGATGTACCGATGTATCGGATATCGGTATCGGCAATATCGGCCATTTTTTCGGTATCGGCCATGTATCGGTATCGGTTAGATTAAGGCCGATATTACCGATATATTTACCTTTTTGATATGGTCCAGAATGTTTTAAAAGATCAGTTGGAATACTACTTTTTAATTTATTTTTGTCTGGAGAGATCGTGAGCTATGAGCCATACATGTCCCCACCCCTGCGAGAGAATAGGATTCACGTGTTTTTAGCTATTTATCAGCTAAACTAGCTCAACTAATTTGGCTATTTTCGCTGTCAAATTTTGATATTCACATTTTTAATATTACATAGTTTTTATGAAGAAATATATCAACACAACACATAACAAAAAGCAACTAGGCGCCCAGTTTTAAATCATACAGTGGAATTGGGGTCCTTCCTTATTAACGGCACATGGACTTTTGGCACGGGTATAAATTCTGACTGTTTGTCGTCAAGTACGAGTGTCATTTAGTCCGTCGACATCGATAAACTAAATTCCGACACAATTATCCCACTACACAGGTATTAATTTTAATTCTGCTTAACTACACGATTTCTTTATAGATATATTGACTTGACCGCCTAGCCCTAGACTGTCTCAAAATATAGGATAGCAATTGTAAAATATTATAAAATAGTGAAGTAAAAAAACATCCTCAACGGTTATCGGTGGGCCTTCTTTTTGTCGGTGCTGATTGATATTCTTTCATGTTGGCTCTGACTTATTGCGTCGACGATTACGATTAGCCACTAAATTAAATATTTGTAAAATGCTTTTAATTTTAACGTAGGACGGCGGCGCTAGAATGTGTGGGTGATATTCGATATTCTTTTAAACACGAATAACGATATTCGAAGCTCGCGATATTAACATTAAATTCAAATTGGACATCCCGGCTTATGAGTTTTCTAATTGAACACCGAGATTACTAGCGTTGCTGTACAATGTATCTTAATCAGTTACAGCATATGGATACCAAACATTAATTTCATATTATGTGATATATATATCTTTTTTTTCGATCTGAAATAATGTGTACTATGAAAAACGCTTAAAGACCTTTGTTTTAACCCGTCTGCCCTACACAGCATACCTAATTAAGTAATAATTACAGAGTATCGATATCGAAATATCGGTAATATCGGCCTTTTTGTAGTATCGGTATCGGTATCGGCGTTTTTAGCAGGTATCAAATCGGTATCGGTATCGGCCTCAAAAGTGGTATCGGTACATCTCTAATCCAGACCACAAAGCCCCGATCGTATCTGATATTACCTTATCTTATCAATAGTGTACTGTGTATACAAGTTCGCACAAAGCAAAAACCCTACTCATCTGCAATTCAATCATACCAAAGAATTCAAGGCTATATAATTGCATAATTAAAAATATGTTTATTATTTTAAAATAAAATAAAGTAAAAACCACACCATTTTTTTTGATTCTTGTATTAGTAATTTGGTGTCCATATTCTTAAGATTTTTTTTAGTTTTCATGGAATAGATTTTGTTGATGGTTGTGTTTAATTACAAAAGGCTCTTCACAAATAGTCATTGCTAGAAAATGAATGAACTACTATAGTTTGGAAGGACCAGCATTGCCTACGCAGTTTGTTACACCCTGGGTAACTAAGATGGTGGCCATGAGATTTGAACCAAGATTTTAACTTGCAAATTCATTGCTATCATATTTGAGTCTAATAGTAATACTTTAATCATTTGACAACTTTGCCCAAAATTTTATTCTAGGAAATCATTGCATCATTTTATTCAGAAGCCAAACTTGTTATCCAGTCATATTTTCTAATATGTTTCGTTCATGTTATTTCTTTTTTCTTGCAGAATCATCCAAAACAGACTGATAACTTTTGGAGTTGTTATATTTATGTTGATTGTTATAATTGTTGTCATATATTTTGTCGCTACAAAGCATAAATGAAAACGAGATTTTTCACAAGTGTTTTAGTCCCCTTGTTTTACTGGATAGAGGAAGAATCTGCTTTCCGACAGGTATACTGGAATATCAATATTCATGTACCAGTGCTGTAAATCATGGGAAGCTTGTGTTATTGAATCGGTATCTGCGTATTCTGTCTTCTGTGTTTGGTTTTCACTGTTGTACTGTTGACCATATACCGGGTACTATAAAAATTGGAGTAATATAATTAATTTTCTATTGAATTGTTTCTGTGTGGATTGTTAGTTTAATCTCAGTATCAGAAGAAATATACAATTCTGCAGGTGGCATTAAATTTATATCATTGATTCAAATTTTTGTAGCTGCAAATGCTTTGTTCTCAATTGGTTTCTATGTTTAGCTATGAATTCTCCTGCACAAATAGAATTAAATAGCTTTTTTTGTTATCATATGTCATGATTCATACTTTTAATTGTTGAACATCACCAAAATTTTCTCCGTTTGTTCACAAAATACATTGGGTGGGCTTTATACTTGATAACTTCTTGAAAGTACCATTTTTATGTATTAATAAAATATTTATGTGTTTACACATTCACCATTAATATATCACCTTCAAAGTTAAGTTTTTTTTGTATTTTTTGGGGAATATTAGCCTAATTTATATGTTGTGCAAGGTGTCACAAGTCACCAGTTTAGTGGTAGAAAGGTGTATTTCATTCGTGTTTTTTTATTTGACCATATCATTTCAAATTTTGTCATGTCAAAACTTTTGATAGATTATGAGGCCCATACACAGTATTTAGCTGATATCCCAGTGATACCTATTTCAACTATGTGTTGCATTGTATGATTTTTTCAACTAAACATATTTCTCTAAAAAATTGGTAAACAGTGTGATCAATCCGATGAAACCAAGTCTCCAATGAATGTTCTTACTTTCAGCACTTACAAGGCTTTCATGAATTGTACGTAAATAATTCGGAAACCTAGTCACCATTTCACTTCACAGTGTACTTTGTAACCACCACTTTATTTTTCTTTCAATGGTCCAACATACGTACTTTCTATTTTGAATTTTTTTTCATTGAACTATTGTGTTTGACTTATTTTTAGATGTGTAAGCATTGAAGTGAATACAAGCGCTTAGTCAGATACTTACATTCGATTCTATCTTTCAATCATTGTCCTGTGATCGATTTTGCAAAACACTTGTTTGTACGTTTGCAAACCAGGGTTTCCTGTTGCTTTGTCGAAGCGGTTATTTCCACAAACACTAGCCATACGGAAAATAGTTGAAGCCTTGGCCGACCATTTGCAGTGATATCTTCGCAACTCGCTGTTTAACCATAAGACATAAAAACCTGATAAGACAACGATATCACAAGATGATCCAATACTCCTTGTCCTGTCACAAGAGTCCAGACCTAGAAATATATTGCGGACTTCCAAGTTTTTTTAAGCCATGACAATGGAATATTAGTGTTAAACCGTTTTGGGCTCAATGATATTAAGACTGCATCGCCATGTTCTCAACGTGACTTGCAATGGCAGCGTCGTAATATGTTTCAACTTGATTTATGGCGGTTTATATATAACTTATGCGTGCAATATAGTTACATTACAAGTCCAATTTGATCGAATCTGGTGAAGTTCACAATTTTATTTTCAATAGGTCCTCTTTACGTTTTTATCGCCGTATTTTTTGCATCTATCATTTTTGTTCGAATGTTTATTTATTTGATATATTGTGTGCGTTCAATGATATGGAATCATTATTTGAAATGGTATTTAGATTGGAGGTTGGGGATCAGTGATGAGATTCAGAATTTCTAGAACTGGTCGTTTGTATCGAACTCGCTACCATGGCTCTATACGTCATATTTACCAATGTATGTCACTACGTTAGCTCATTCCAATATTGACTTTGCGCGAACACCTTGAATTTCCCATTGGTTAGAATTCTCGTGTTAAAGCCAAGGCCAACGAAGACTCGTTTTAAACTTAAACTTATGGCTCAGGGAAGGAAAGGCCTTTGGCACAACTCTGAACAGGATGGATGGTGTTATTTGGGCAATCAAACTGATTTGCAAAGTTGTTGCGCCGTATGGACTTTTAAAAATTGTTTCGTACTAGTATGGGTTGTTGAAAATAACGACTCTAATGGTATAATTTCAATTGGGAAGAAAACGCAAGGAATAGCATTTGTAAGCCCTTGTTGATTTCAAAGCGCAAATTTCGTTTCCCATTCTGCAATTTTATCCTGAGTTCAGAGCTCAATTTAAAAATTCGACTATGGCTTTTTTCCTCCAATCAAGCCCCTTTCCGTTAATACGACTTGTTTGTTGCATAACAGACAATAAAGGCTGTCCAAAATGGAATATTTTCGCCGAATCGAACCGAATATTACTGCGCAATCCTAAATATGTCTCTATTATACAATAAGCGCCTGTCCTTTCTGTGTTGTGGTAAAGTTTGTGCAGTTACATCAGACTTACTGCTGGTATTTTGCAATACCATGTTTTCAGATTCATGAAAGGAGATCAAACGCTTGTATGAACTGGTCAACAAAATGGAAAACTCCAAAATTAGGGGTTCGAAAACTGTTGAGAGTAAAAATTGCACAATTCAAAAATTGCACTCTCAATTCTAATGGATTCAGTTTTAATATGACATGTAAAGCCTGTAGATGCTATTTTAATCCTATTTTCCCTAGTCTTATGTTTTTTAATAGAATTTTCAGCAAAATGATAACAATAATATAGATAAAACTGTTGCTCAAATTCAAAATTGCATTCAACAAATTTGAAGCTAGTTTGATGACAATATTGTTTGGTGACTATAATATTGTTAGTGTACAACAGCCATCAAAATGCAGGAGTGCAATTATTTGTCTTGGTAAATAGATAGATAATATAGTATTGCCATCATAAAAGATTACAAATTCCACTGAAAAAAGGTATTGTCATCATAAGGTTCAGCTTTGAGCTGATTGTACAATGTTCCTATGATAACTAACTCAATATCTTCAAATCGATTCTATTTATAGAACTATCGTTTTCTAACATTATAAATTGTCTTTGTCTCTCAAAAACGTCATTACAACTTTTAAGTTATGATGACCATGCATGAAATGACTAATCACGTGCCACCAGGCATAAGGAATGACGTGCTATCGCAAAATGAAGGCGAGAGAAATATTGGGAAACCAATTAAGCCAGGAGCGAGAGTGGTCTATGGTCGAAGCGCCTCCGCTTGCCCCATGAAAAACGTCCTGCAAAGGTGGTTTCAAGCTTTTTCGCTTTATGTACCTAATTTTAGCGTGTCGAAAATTAGCCGAAAAACGATTCGAATAATTTGCGATTCGATTTCGAATATTCGGTTCGCTTGGATAGCCCTTACATACAATATTATCTTCAAATAAGAGAATGCTAGCGTCACAGAATACCAACTTTTTGATCTTATTCCAAATGAGATTTTACTTTATGGCAGGTATCTCGGAGGAAAATAATTTTTTAGGAGACTTATCCTACTTTATATATACCCCGCCAATAGCTTCTGTGTTTCGTCCCTCTACGTCTCTGGGATGACGTCACAATGTTACCAAAGTTTGATGCCCTCCCTATTCAGGTCTGTGAAGATAAGCTTACGAAGTAGAAAACATTTTAGAGTTATTTATTATTATACTTGAAGAAAAAAGAGGTTTACTCAATATAAGTTAGCCTAGTTATAATTAACAGTTATCAATATGATGCAATTATTTAATAGCTCATCATTGTGACGTCACGAATCAAAATTGTAATAAACTTAACAACAATAAGTTGAAGACGATTGGTATTCAGCTCCGAAAAATATCGTCAATTTTCGCATTGATGCTCACATATCACACATATAACTTTACAAAACATTTTCTAATATCGGCGAACCACTCCTAAACGTGCGAAATCGAAGGTAGTTTCGTGGTACACGAGTTGAATGTTCGCGATTCTGAGATATTTTTTCGGAGCTGTTAGAGGAATGAAATAAGAAATCACATTTAACATGAAGAAATTTCTAAAGAGTAACAAAAGTATTATAAAAACGACAGTTATAAACAGACCAGCACATCAAAAAAGTAAAGCATAAAGACGAATTGCTGTACGTAAAAGCATCACCGACTCGAAATCTTCTGCATCTCAAAGACTTGACTAAAAAGATATTGCGAGTCGTCATTTGTTACCGGCATAAATGGAAGAGGCGACTGTTGCCACATTTTGAATATCTTTGGTAAAAACCTCTTTTGGGAGAGATTCCGCAAAGATTAGTCCCGAAAGTTAATTGGATCGCAAAATGATAATGCTTGCCTTCAATGACGCCAGTAGGATACCACATCATGACCAGGTCAATATTGCTCTAATAAGATATTTTGTAGGTCAGAAGACATGTATACTTTTGTTTATCATATGCACCTCCGCCATGTTTGACTACATAGACATTTGATTGCATAGCCTGCGGTACATTGTATTCGATATTGGATTTCGAGTTTGGTTACAGTCTAGGTAGAAATTATTGCTGAATCGCAGCGCTAGGGTGATATAGCATTTTATTAGTGTAGTAGCACCTCGTCAGACAAATTGTTAATTAGACATTCCAAATGTCCATGGGTCTAAAATTAGATAATTATGATTGAAAACTGGGGTACAACATATGGAACGGCCTGTTTGAACTGAATTTTGGAGCAAAATCATATTTAATATATCAGAGGTTGTGAACAAATTTAAACATACATTACAAGTTCACTTTAACATCTGAAACGCATTCTGATTCGTTTTCTCGAATCCCTAATTGCCTGAATATAATCCGAAAGTATGGGTATTTATGTAAACTAATAGAAAGATAATATATGAATAACTCCATCATTTCGATTCATAGCAGAAGTAGCAGAAATAGATGATTCAGAAATGTTTCTCATTTCTTGTTCGTGTTCTTTACATTTTTGTACCAACTGTTGTAATTTTCTCTGTTTCCCAATGTTCCCGATTTGATATGCATCCGTCCAACATTGGTTTTAATCCATCTGACACTTTAGCCAAGCCCTGAATAAAAACAAAATTTCGTTTTTATCAGATCATTCATTGCTGTGACCTGGTGTCCAGAAGAATTCTGAAATTTCGTTCTTTTAGGCCTACAAGAAATAAACGGACTGAACGTTAGATATTGAAGAATAGTAAATTTCATTTTAATTACGCAGCGTTTCATTTAAACTATACCTACGTTGCTTTAAATTCATTACCAAATATGCTTCATTGTTATACTTGTAAATTCTCAACAGATGGATGAAAAAGTATGGGATTTTGGAAGTGTCAAATCTTAGTTTACTGAAATGGTTTATTTACTGCATGGATCACTGCTTAACTGTGCCGTTATGGCACGTATACATATACTTTTTTTTACAGCCTTAGGAGCTATTGTGATACATTTTGTAATACAATATGACTGGTCAAGAAGCCACAGATAGTCCTATATTATATTATGTAGAATTCTTGTCGCTAGAATAGTTTGCCCATGTATACATCACGACGTTCGACTTGTATGAATGTGTCTACTAGTCTTCTTAAAAGTCAGTAAATAAGTTTCATGATACCTCATATAATGGAACACAAATGGCGTTTATAAATCCAATTTGCATTGTTGGCAGTTCTTCAGCTTGCTTGCGGTTTCATCATATCAACAGGTTCTAAGTGAAGTTGCCTCTTTTCTATGTCTCCTTGGTCGAAAAATTCTTCAGCCACCAATCTGGCAACCTAGCAGAAGCAACGAAGCAAAAAAAAATTACCTTTGCGCTCAATTGCATAAAACTAGAATTTGAATAATTACATGTTGAACACGCGGCCAAATATGAATCCCCGCTAAGCCAAATTGTCAAATATGCTCATTGAAATTCGGATTCATATTTAGACTAATTACTAACTGAGTATGCTTTTGCACTCAAAAGTTGAAAATGCTATGAAAATAACGTGTCGGTGTTGGAACGTTCCCACAACTTTGGCGTGTATATTAGTCTTGGAGAGAATTGTTTTTCTACAACGTTTGATATCAAACTCGCGATTTCACATCGCACGGAGATCACATCATCATGAAATTGATTGCTGGAAAAAGTTGCACCAGGAATTGGTGGCAACACCGACTCGTACACTGCTGTAGTGTAATTGCTTAGATCAATTGTAAATCAGCATGCAAAGCAATAGCACAAAGATTAACTCGGAAAACAAAAACAAACATGCAACCGATCAGCAAGCAAATATATAAAATGTCGAATCGAAGTTTTCGTCAAACATATCCGGACGTGCGTATCTAAATCAAAATACAGTTATTGAAATCAAAATCAATTGTGACAACGTATTTATCGGTTTGCGATGCATTAAATCGGGTGGATTTATTATGTGACTGATCACAGATAATTTACATTTGCGCTTATCGAAGGCGCTTGGGTCGTCATCGAAGACGAGCATAATTATGGTCAATTTGGAAGTTGGAAAAATATTGCACTTGGTCTTTTTTATATATATGATTGTGTCGAATTTAGTAAATATTTAATATTGAGTTGTTCGGTTGCTATATTTGCTGCTTCAATGCAGCTACAAGGTGTCGTTGACTGGATGACTCTTTCGCGACCCTTCGTCTATTGCAACAAGCCGGTATCCGTTTTTGTAATTTGTTATATATATGCCTTTTTTAATTTTTCTTATATATCGTATATTGGTTTTGCATGACGAAAATAAATATCTGAATATGAATCTGGTCGATGCTCGCTTGTTTTTCACGCGTCATTCTAAAATTCATATCATACCGAATAAAGATGGGTATGATGCGCTTTATGACCAAATAACTACTGGATTTTCATTAACGCTACTAGGAGATGAGATGTAGGAGGTTATACCAAAATTTTGAAAATATTTTATACCCATGACCAATGATTTAATATGAGTCGCAAAAGTGGAAATATTACTAATATTACAATTGTCTTTTCAGAGGATCTGGAAACTTTAATTTACAGACATTTTTCATACAAGCTTTTCTCAAAGATACTGCGCTGCGCTATGTACTTATTAAGTTTTTTGACCGCTTGAAGTAATGCGCAACTCAACGATGTCATTCATCAGGCGTGTACAATAAAAATATAAATTTGTGGAACGCACGTTACAGCGACACTCTTTCTACGCATATGAGTGTCATTTGTTGCCCCAATGTATACAAGTCGTAAACGTGATCGTGATCTTGTAAGTGTCATTAAACTTTCCGTTGGGCGTATATACAAACTGTTTAGGTGAGCAATAATTTCTACGACCTTTACCCGTATAAGAGAAGAATCAGACGGACGAAAAGCGACAGGAGAATGGTGCTTTAAATGTACAAACATGCTTTGGATTTACATTGCTAAACGAACAACAAGAACTTGTACAACACAACGCAAACGAGACTTTTATGTATGATCGACCACCAATGCGCATTGCATATCTGGATGACAATGATAGTGGGTCATGTGAGTGGCCAAGGGGGCTAAATGTTTAGATACTAGATTCTTCATCGAATCAAAAATAGGATCCCGAAACCCAACCCAAAAACTTATTTGAAAGAAACCCCAAAGAGGCTTAAAAGTATATCGGTAAAACCAATGATTCAGAATTTTAAACAAAATTTCAGTTCTTTTATTCTATAAACTCAAGTATTTGACACAGCCTACAACTTTTCATCCAGATATTCATTGCGGATATTGGTCACAACAGACATGCGTATATCGTTTTAGCGCAATTGTTAAAAGAAAAGAAAATAAGGAAACGAAGATTGCGATTGCTTATCCATACGGCCATACGCGGTCCTACGCAGAGCGATCAAATATGCGATGCATTAGCGCAGCAAGCAAATCTATATACACAATGCAATGATGAATAATTATTGGTATTATAGGTTGCCCGGGCAAATTAAAGTGCTAGTCAATTGGTTAGTAAGAGCTAATCCTGACTTTCAAGTTATCAGATGACCAAAATTGGAAAATTCGTCAGATTGTTATTTACTTGACCCAACAGGGTACCCAGTGGAAAATTTTTGATTATTCCGCGCTAGGTATATCTTTTCACACTGAGTGTGTGGAGTTGTTTTGATATAATTATCGGCCAAATATGGACAACTGAAACTATATAGTCAGGGTGTGAAAGATCGAAGTTGGCGGAGGAATACTTCATTGTTTTTTTTACTTGTACCATTTATACCTTGCTTTGTATAATCCACGGCTTTGAAATTGCCGAAATATCTGTGCCAGTCATGATCATGCCCCTGCCATAATATGCAAGACATGGGCAAAAAATTAAAATAGATTGCGAAAAAAGTCAAAAATGATGAAGGCGTTGCAACTAAGATGAAAAATTTGGCGTGTGATGACGTCACAAAGGATAATATTGATTGCGTCATGACTACTGTCCTTCAATTGCAAACAGTCGAATTAAGACTTGCCACAACGGAAACAAGCGTTTCGAGGATGCCGTAAAATTTATTTCCGCCGGAATAAAAATACCTTTCATGGGTCATAGTAGCCTCAATAACACCAGAACTTTGGTCAATTTTAAATTAAGCGATCAATTCGATCATTAATGTGAAATGAAATCAGAAATATTCATATAAATACGCGAGAAAAATTACTGCTGTCGAAAGCCGCCTTGGTTACTATTTGATGCTGCGTCGTAAGTAAGGATTGATTAGTGTCAGTGATTATAACACCAATTCAAATTATTCGTTTTGTGATTTCGCCAACGATTCATAAGTATAAATCTTTTCAATGAGTTAGTAATTTACAGGTATGAAAGAATTGCGCAGAACCACGTAACGCATGAAAGTTTCCTGTGCAAATTCGCTTTAAGAATTTATTCTATACTGTCGCGTGCAGCAACTACATATTTGAGAAATTATGCTGGTAACAATTCGTTTTCAACATTAATCGTATAGTATATATAAACGCCTTGTACATACTCCAGGAATGTATTTTTATTGAAAATGATCGTTTTTGTAAATAAGCTCTGACTGCTACGATATTTTTTTTTAAGTTTTTTTTGTAAAAAGGTATCGAATTTTTGAACCTTGTCTTTAACTGGAGTTGTAATCTATCTATGCAGGGTTTGTGGTAATATTCCGTCGCAATTATGTATTATTGTAGTAGAATATACAGCCACAGCGAGCAGAACAGAGAGTTACAACCTGCGCTTGCATATGTATTACAATATCATAATAATAATTTTGATTGCGTGACATAGGACTACCGTGCACTTGCATATATAAGAGTTATATATATATAAGTAAAAAAAAAATTGATGACGTATAGCATGACGCAATCACGGAGTTGCAACTACCTTTTTCTGGACATTCCATGGTTTTGTTATGGCAGCTATATCGCATCCTGTTATCAAGATACCCCTGTTATAGTGGAATGACTTGTTAGAAAAATATTTTAATAATACCTATAGTGTAATTGTCGAAGTAAACAACAAAAATAAGAAAATATTGTTTGACTAAACAACAAAACTGCTTTTTGATATATTTTGAGAGAATCTAGCATAGAGTATATATATGTCGTAAAGGCCTGTACATTATATATCAGGAAATTCTGAGTGAGTGCATGTAACAGTAGACAGATTTGAGATTAGTGTTGGAGAGGCGGCTGGGGCAAAGGAGGGAATGGGGTACAGAAGGAGTAAAGCGAGAGTGAGTGGTCGAGTGGGTGGAGCACTAAATCTTACCTCAACAGCGTTCGGTGCTCTTCATTGTTTTTCCAATCACATTTTCCACTTTCTAACAATTTTAAGAAATTGCCTCTCTTCTTAAAATACACCGCAAGATCTGTGCTGATGATTGCGTGTTGAATTAGTTTGATAACCGTTTCGTATTCCTCTGTACTCAAATGTGATAATATTTCACAACCTAAAAAGTAAAAGAAATATATGATCTTTATTTCATCTATAGCAAATATAGACTACATGTATAATACATATAAACTGCGGATTTGAGGATTAGAAACATTCTTAGAATTGCTACACATACCAGTCGTTAATTTTTATATATATTGAAATACGTTACACAAAGATATGTTAAGTAAACATTAGTGTAAAGATTTTTCGACGCTGACAAATTGGCAGTAACGGTTGTCAGTTCTATTCGTCCGCGTACCCTGCTAACAGCATCACATTTGAGATATGCTTTTTTTAAAATGGGTAGTCCAGCTACAAAAGATATTACAACCAGGCGCACAAATCTATTAAAATAACGAATTTTAGGACCAATATATGTAGAACACTACCACACCTTTGCTACACAATGTCACAAAACAAAGAAATTTAACTTTTGGGTAAAACAAAACAATATGCGAAAGGTCGGACGTGTGGTTGTATATTTACTTTTATAGCTAGCTTCTCCATGAGGATAATAAAAGTCAGTCAAGTGCAAATTAAGAGTGGACGAACTATAAGCATTTCATGTCTGGCTCAAATATGTCATATAACTATCGTTATTATCGGAATGTATCGATAAGATACATCACTCTACACTGGGTAAATACAAGCAATAAGAATTTCACTTATCATATATTTTGACTTTATTTTTACTGAATGCTGGCGAAAGATATGAACCATTCCTAAGAAAAAAGGTGCCAGGCGTGAAATGTCGATTACAAAATATGCCCAAAGTACAAAAATGGGAGATGTATAAGAAAGTCAGCAACGCTATTGGGAAGTAGGTACTGGAAAAGTAGGTATGGAAAACGAAACTTTTAGCAGCCTAGAATCCCAGTTGGAGAGTATAAGTTTATGCAATACGTACACGATAACTAGTTGTGGAGTTTAAAGTAAGTTTAAGGTATGTATTACAATAGTACTAAAATAATTAAACACTCAAAATCCATAAGCACAAGGTTAATCAGAATTTATCGTTGTGGTGTCAGTGGCGATACCCACAAAAGGGTATTCTGAATGACGCAACCTTGGTCTCTGACGTGCGGGTTTCTTTTTTACAAACTGCCTATTATGTATAGTCTTAATGTATAATGCCCATTTGTTGTTGTTGCGTATGCACACTTGATCGCTATTATGCCCTTAGGGCATTTCGTGCACCGTCGTCGAGGAAACCTTCTGGAAATACTTTAAGTCAAGTAGTTGGTGAATTGAGCTTAAATTAATTATATATATATATATGAAGACAGTACTGGTTAAATGTTGAATCATAGACCATAATAATATAGACAGATTAGGCTAGGATTTTATCTGTTACTCGGGACCAAAGACGAAGATTACTACTGCTTCTTGACAGTATAGATAGCATCTTATTTTTCATCGTCAATTGCTGCAAACTTGAATGTACGAAGTTGCAATGTAATTCCAGATATATCATTATTCACTGCGGGATAATTTTAGACGTTTGTTTTCTGTGTTTACCCAGCGCAACCATGTTAGTATAACACCAAGCTCACGCCAAACTAATTCATACACCAAGCGGTCTCAGGCCGTGAAAGCACTAGCTTCAATATTAAGTTTTACGAAGTAAACTATTTGTTTGACTTCGAATCTCAACATCTTTCTGAATATATATATCAGTTTACATATGAAACCGAGGTACGTGACATAATCTCACAAGTGAAATTAAGAAATAGGAAAAGCAAACGTCTTACATAGCTGCAAACATTTTTGATAAAGTTTCGTTTTAACTTTTGAACAGATAAACAGAGAAGATATTCAACGTAATAATTGAATATGATGTGTTTTTTATTAGATCAGATTATAAATTTCATCTTTCCATCGGTAAATTCGAGCTTGCACAATAGCAACTGTGTAGAAAAATTTCGTTTTTACAATAGCAAATGCCAAAACAAATTCCGGCTTAGACAAAAGCAAATGCATAAGAAAATTACAGCTTGTGTTATAGCAACTGCCTAAGGGGATAAACCTTAGTGAACCCATTATACTGTCTGTAACGCAGCATGACTTGAAATCACGTGGAATAACTACAATGAATTTCGATATTTCTCATATAACCTTCCGAAGTTTAAAGGGAATTATTGGATTGGCTGCATTCTTTTGGATTGTACTGGTCGTGATTGTTCATCATCGTCTTGTGATTCAACATAAACAATTGGATAACAATATGGCAAGTCCAATTGACTTTATTTTTACATTTTTATCGGAGTATGATAGTACAATGTTTCACAGTATTTTTTGACATTAGGCAACATGAAAACGACCCGATGAATGCGGTACTGTTAAATATCATATGAATTTAGAGACAAGTTTTGGGGAAAATAGAGAGGGAAAAGGTAGAAAGTGACGTCATAATAAAAGTTCTCAACACCATAAAACCGAAATATATCGCAGTGATGTAAATAGATACTGGTACCCCTAAAATGGCTCTAGCTACACTTCACTCGTGGATAACATTCCTTCTTCAAATGCGTAATGATATAAAATTAGATTTTTTTTAACTTAAAAATATAATCCCTTTTATAACATGGGTATTCGGGCGATATCAATTATCTTGTACGACACATATTTTGATTTCTATATACAGGCATCACTGCGTCATCGATCGGAACCACTTCTCACTGTGAATTGCGATAAAATAACTGTAAATATAAGAGACAAACACTGTGCTAAAAGACTTCAATATTTGACTGAACTAGAAAAATTGAATAAATGTTTTAATATGTATGGGATACACCAAAACAGTAAGTAAAATTTGTAATATATACGCTTAAGCAGACGCGTGAATGTTCATAGGAAAAGAGGCAAACGAATTCGTAATGCCGTTTCCAATAATATTTCATTCGTTCATAGGTTCAGAATGTTCTGTGCTAAAGTACTTGGTATACGTGGAAAAAACCTGCCCGGAACCTGAATCATCTTATCAAGCATTTTCTCACCTTTCGGCCGCCAAATCAAAACTACTGTTACTTGAAAACGGAAAACTACCAATTGCAAAGTGCAGAATTACTTTAGAAACGCTAATCAACAAAATGGAGGATTGTGGCAGGGTACGTTTTGATTCAAACTACACATCTTGAATGATATGTCAATCAACGACGTAAATAAGTAATCAACTCACTGCTTTTATACAATAGTTTAATTTGATAGAATTGCAGTATTTTGTGGAATGCCCGAATATGCCAGCTTGCAACACGGGGATAAAGAAGACGTTCTGTTATTTGAAAGAGTCCGAACAGCAGCATTACTTTGAAGTTGTGAAGAATGTGGTCATAAAAATAAAACAATCCAACAAAATTCGTGCTAGATAATTTTAGTATCATCTAACCTGCATCCGAGCTCGAACTATAAAAACAGCAACCTAATAATATCCGATTTGGACTTGATACAGGTGTGCGAGTGGGTGAAAACCAGAATTCAGAATCATAAATCTGATTGGTTGGCATCTATTTCTGAATTAGCCAATCAGAAAGAGATGGAAGTTGATGGTGATAATATTCAGCCAATCAAAAACGAAGAAAAGCAGAAGTACGCGAAACGTCGCCGTCAAACGATTATTCTGCACATGGGGTTGCTCACGAAAGAATATGGACTGAATTTTGGAGAGGGTGCCTTTTCTGGTGGACCGCTTGGGGAATTAGTGCAATGGGCGGATTTGGCTGCCACTTTGGAATTACTAGGCCATGAAGTCATACTTTCTTGGTCACAAGATCGACTCAAACAACTTTTAAAACCGCGGTACGACTTCGGGAATGATTGCAACAAAGCAGTAATGGCGGATATTGCATTCACGGATATGTACGGATTAGAGCAAGTAAATAACACTTTTAAATTATTGATGTAGGACATGTCTGCGATTTTCTTTAAATGTAAGTTCACTCGAAGTATGATTTCCAGTTTTTTGCTGACGTCATTAGAAAAGTCGAAAACGCAGATTTATTCGCAAGGAACTATATATCCATTGTTGCGGTAAAGATGTCACTGAATACCGTTGACACGTATCTTGAAACAATTCGAACTAATAATGCTTAAGAAACCGCTTCGGCAAATGGATGAAAATTTGTCTCTAATCCAAGTCTCTAAGAGATCGACCTTAAAAGAAAGTCAAATACTCTTAAACTATAATTAAGGCTTTGTTCAAATAATGTAATTCGCCCGTCTATGTTCCCTTTGCGAACAAGGTTAAAGATCAATGTTCCACGTCATAATTGAATTAAATAATCGAAATTTGTTTCAATTTCGTAAATTCAATTTTCATTTTTTCAGAGTAGTATACTGACACGTTCTTATATACGGGAAAGCAAAAAATTTATCTGTCATATTTTACAGATGAAAACAACATTAGGAACATTGTATAATTACAGATGTAAATTGAGAATCCTTGATGTTTATGGTACGGAACCAGAATTCAATCATCCAAGATATAAAAACAAAGATTCAAGTTCTGGAACATGGGGAGGTATGATATTATTCTTTTTAAAGCAGGAATGGCACTTTGCTGAAAATGGAACAAATCGTCACAAATATATCGAAATAAATTTATAGCAAACATGTTGGCCAAACTATATTAGCCTAGCAGTTATTTAATTTGGTTTAGCATTAAACCAGTGATTTTCAAGCCCATCGACATACACAGGTTGTAGAAATTGAGAGATTGTCAGAGTCGGCGAAAGCATATCTCCTGCGGCTATATTATGGTGCTTTGGAATAGAACATGTCGGAAATTTTAAATACGTTCAACCTTTGACCCTAAATGTTCTAACTCATCGCTTCTTTATACAATTTACTACAATATAAGTTTAATATCATGGAGTTGAATTAATAAGTTTGCTCGGATTCTGTGTAATTAGCAGTAAGGTCGCAACTTAACTTATGAGTAAATTGCAAGCGCGTTTTGTGATAAGAGTGTAATTTTGCAAATCAAATATTTATTGTTACATTTTACAGGAAAAGGATTAGATCCCAGACAATTTTACACCCATTTTCCACATTCTCCCGATAATTCATTCTTAGGATTCGCCGTGCGGACATCAGATACCTTAGACAATAATGATGTAATAAAGTGAGTGGTAATACTAACAGATTGCTTACATATAATTCTACGGCAGATACCTACGTACTATATCGAATCGGAAAAATTCTTTTATCCGCGTTATTTCATGAGTTTGGGAACCTCGGATGTTTATTAAGACACCACAAGATTAAACCTAAAAATTATGGCCTGCAACATAGTGGCTAAGTACAACTGTAGACAGAGTTAGAATATAGTAAACATATAAATGTAAATCTCAAATGAATTCGATGCTATATTCTATAACTTTTCTTTTTCCTTGTTATCATGGTAACGATAATATTATCATCTGGTAATTTCTAGAGGAAGAGTACTTTTATATGGGAAAAGAGCAAAATATTTGGAAGGCAGAGGAAAGCTAAAGTTTCTGGATATTCTCCATGAATTCTTTGATGATATTCATGCTACGATGGAAACTAATATGGTAGGTTTTAAATAACAATAATCAATAAGGAACCCAATTTTTAAAAGTTTTGTGTGTAATCCAATATTGAATTCACTAAACATCATTCCCTAATTGATCCATTGTCATGGAAATCGCAATATATACTGAATAAAACGTGTAAAAATATAAGCGCACTGGATAATTGTTTTAGATATTTTATGGAGTGTTAATATACTATATAGATTCGAACAAGAGTTCATTAATTAAGACACATTCAAATCAATCCGAAAGTTTTGATGCAAACCAAAACAGTGAGTGTATATTGCGGCTATGAAAATATTGAATCTATGGTTATCATTCATGTTATACTCTATATTATAAACGACGTACCAATACCATACATTATCACTTTTAGGGCGATCAGCAGTTTTTGCCCGAATACGTCACAAATCATGGTTCACTTGGTCAAGACGAATTTAGAAAATTGCTCAAATCGTCGAAAATATACGTCGGTCTTGGTTTTCCAGTGGAAGGTCCAGCTGCTTTGGAAGCAGTGTCAAATGGAGTGATATTTCTAAATCCGAAATTTTTGCCTCCTCTAGACGCACATCACGGAAAACCAACAAGCCGACGTCTGACGTCGCAAAATCCGTACGCAGAAAATTTTATCGGTACGTAAACATTTGTTAAAAATTTTCACAATGACACATATATAGTGTACTGTAATAAGTTTAGAATCTTCTCATTTATCATTAGCTGTGTATTCAAAAATCGAACTTTTGGCTTATTATTTATCGATCATGATCGGTAAGTATGTTGATAGGTATTTGTCTGTTTGTTTGTTTGTCTGTTAGATGCACGCGATATCTCACGAAAACGAGGTTGAATCTGCTCCAAATTTTGCATGTGCAATCATCATATCTCGGACCAGAGGCCTATTGATTTTGGATGAATTATGTCGTATAATTAGCGAGTCATTAATTACTTTCGATCGATAAGTCTTCGGTCTCCGACCGATATTCTCGTTTTGATTTTTAATATTATCCATGCAATAATCGACGTAAAACGGAATATGTCATAGCTTGCTAAAATGTAGCCAAACGAAAAAATTCGCAAAAACAACTGGAACAACTAGTGAAATTCAAATACATTTAAAAAAAAATTGTTCATTTCTAGATATACATGACGAACTACTACAGAAAAACTTTGAAATGCAGTTTTATTTGTCTGTTAAATATTAAATATCATTCCTTAATTGATCGATTGTCATGGAAATTGCAATATATACGATTACGATAGATAGATAGGATACGAAAATTTTCAAATGGCAAAGGGAATTTTTCGATATCATATATAATTTGTTGGCCCTACATGCGTATTGAAAAAAAAAAAAATAAATAAATAAGCATTGCTCAAATTAAAACAAATCTGGTTAATATATATATATTAAGAAATGACTTCCTAACAAAATTGAAACTGTAACAAAATTGATTTATGAAAAACTTGTATATTTTAGGAGAACCGTACGTATACACTGTAGACCTAAATAATTTCAGTGAAGTAAGAAGAGTTCTGAACAAAATAAAGAATTCAGAGAGAAATCAAGCAAAAGTTAATCGAGAGTTTACACATATTGGATTCATCGAGGTGGGTAAAGTTTGAGATACATCGTTGCAATTGGACAGCAAGTATCTTGTTTTTTTCCGTAACAATGTCCAATCAGCAATAAGTTTACGATGACGTAACAATGGCAATTTATGCAGCCGCTTAGACACTTCTTTCGCTGAGACATATATATTCAAGCATAGTTGCAAATTTCGACCCGTTTTCGCGGTTTTGCGTGTTATTTGTCAGTTTCCAAAAATGAATCGTAAATCATATAATTTAATTGCCAATAAAGTCTTCTTAGGAGATTTTGTTTAGTTACAATAATCAAAATTTAGTCCGAATAAGCTGCAATACACTAGACTAAAATTAGCTATCAGTACATGCATTAGGAAACGTGGTAGAATGTTTTTAAAAAAGGATGGTTTCAGACCATTAGTATAGACCACGTAAACCAGTTTTGGGCGCTAACTCTCTAAAACAGTATCAAAAAGTTGTTATAAGATTTCTCTGGAATCAAAGGTCGCGGAAACATCGAATGCCGAACCGGAAAGATTCCATTTCTTTGCATATCGTTAGATATCGGTAAATGCTTGTACAGGGATTTATTCGGAGCGAAAGAGGAAAATAATAAAGTCATCATTTCTACGTTAATTACAGAGAGTGAATTCTTTCATTGAAAATCAAGATTTTTGTAACAGTCAGATGGAAGCTGATATTCATACTGGTATGACTTGGAAACGAAATACATCATTATGGCCACCGAAGTCTTCACTAAGGGTATGATTTTGGAAAATTATCTTACTATTCTGTAACTATAGAAAAGGGTTTCTAAAAGCACATTGTAAAATTGCACCATTAAGACTAATGTCTTTTCTGACATATTTTACAGTGATATTTAATAGTTGGCATAAGCATGATTTCAAAGTAATAATGGAAAATTTTCCAGAAGAAAATTGTATTTTTTGTATTTAAATTACAATTTGTTTTTTAATTTTTCAAAAAAACGGATCCAATCAGATCCGTTATTTTTCAAAAAAAAATTAGTAGACACATAAATTGTCTGACAAATTGTTTATACAGTAAAATCACTAAAGAACTATTATTATCAATTTTCAATTAGTTCAACCTGGTTTTCAATCCCTATGAGATGGTATGTATGACTCCACTGCTTGAATATGAACCTATTTCCGATGTATATATTGCAGATAAAAATGTCTTCAGATGGAGAATCGTGTGCTTCAGTGTGTTCAAGATATAATTTAACTTGCGAACGCGCATTCTTTCCGTTGATTAACAACGATGTACAATTAAATAGTATAAAACAAAAATGCACTGTATTCGAAACTCTACCGGGATATTTGCAAAACGACAAACGAAGAACTCCTATTTTTGCAAACGAAGTTTGTCACGCTCCAAGTTATGATTCGTCAACAGGAATATGTTTTATTCAATCAGATCCGTTACTATTCTCTTGTGCGTGTGAACAGAACAAGTCTGTAATGAGGCTGTGTCCATGCAGGACGTATGCACACGAGCAAGTTGCTCTGTGCAATGGCTGTACTTGATGAAATATAATGAAAATTCGAAAGTTACAAAGAAAGGCGAGGACGGAATTAGACGGGACGTGTCGGTACCAAGGAGTATCCCTGCATTGCATTTTCAAATGGATACACGCCATGGTCGACTTCAATTATTATAACTAAAGTATTCCTTATGGATGTGTACACATACAACAAAACTAAACTAGTCGTATTGGAAAGATAACGATGTATAAAAACTCATACGTGTATATGCAACTGAATTTCTAATTTCAACATGCTATTATTGTGTTTCCTGGAGAACACATTTTGCACTTGGAAAAACCTAATTTTGTTAAAAATTTAGTGAGGCAAAAGAACAAAAGCGAACCACGTGCATGAGATTATGATTCCAAGTTTTGAGATATTCGTCTGTTGATTATTGCAGTTAAAAAATATGAATAAACCACTGTTCCACTTTCTACGATCGATTTTTTGAACACGATTATTATTAGCCGGGATATGTAATCTCCCAATCCTCAATAATTAATCGTTTTATAACACGGGTTGCGAGTAGGGCTGGGTAATTTCGAATACCAGATGATTTTAAAATCGAATCAAATATTTTTTTCCAGTCGAATCTTGAATACTGGAAAAGATGTAATTGCATGCGACTATTTTTACTAATGAGTCTTTAGACTCATAAATTACTGAAAACATAGAAACCTTCAATCACGCTATTTGCTGAGTGTTCACACACAATAAAAGAAACATATTTTATCAATAACTCGGAAGAAAAGAGTCATATGTCAGAATTCCATTTTACAAAAAAGCTTCATTAAAAAAAAATTGAGGGATTCACATTCACCCCGACCTATGGGGAACAATAAAAAACAAGATGGCGACGATTCGAAATTTTTGTCAGAACCGACTGGAATAATTTACGATTCAAAATGCCTATAGTGGCGAGTTGTTTCGATACTTGAAACGAGTAAACTAGGTTCGTTCTTGAATAATGGATTGTTAATTATAAAGAATATCAACTCACCGGTGCTGTGCAAAAGCATTAAACATTGATCGTAATGATGTTGTTCTAACGTTGAAGTTGAATATAATCTTGCAAGAGGATGCTCAATCCTGCAGATATTAGTAAAAAACAGTTTACCGGATTCCATGAACAGAATAAGTTATACAGAAGGTATTACGATTTCAAAACAAAGCACTGGTTATTTTGGAAACAACAACTTCTATCAACCAACTTCAACCTAAGGTACCTTAGAAACAAGCCTAAGCCTAAATAAATAAGTTTAGAAGTTGGCTGAATGTTACAATACTTATAGGAAATATAAGCTTGGCATTTTCAACTTTTTAACCAGGAGTAATATAACGAAGGTAAATGTAACATGAAACACAAAAAATATCTGGTTTGAAAAATGTCGATTCAAACTAGAATATTGGAAACATGAGAATATTCCACTTAATTTATTCCACTTTATTAATTTTTGATTCTGTAACTTTACAAACACTCTTACTTGGCTTGAAATGCATTATTCGTTCCTCTATGATCAAGATCGTGACATAAGCATGAAACAAGCAGAGATAATCGTTCGTAATCATCCAGGTAGTCTCCGATTCCCCCGCTCTTTATCATGCAAAACATGCTCTGAAACAGAACAATGATGAATGCAATTCTAAGTGATTCAAAAGTTGGAAATATAGTGGTTTTTGTGGACAACAAGACTCTGGAATAACTTAGAAATGTTATCTCCACTCTTGCTACAACATCGTTGCATCGGCGGTGTGGCGCATAGTGTTAAGCGATAGGGAAACGCTCACTATTGCACCGTTACTTAGCCTGCGTGGGTTCGCAGTTTTGAATTACGCCGGGATAATTATGTGTGAGAAGATTGCTGGACTCCTCATTCACGTAACCGCTGGTTTCCTCCACCATCATCTGAAACACCATGCATCTGAAACAAACAACTGGCCAACTAATCTCATACCCGTCAGGGACTGGTAAACGGACGAGAGAGGCCGGGGTTCGCCATGTGATTAGGACGTCTTATCGGATTTCTCCTCCGCGGGATAAATATGTAAATCCTATCTTATATGCATACGTGTCCACCGGCGCAAAACCATAGAAGAATGAAATCTTAAAGAAAATAATAGAAGTCACTCACTGAGATTCAAGTTTCAGAAAAGCAACGACGTAATCTCTAATTTATAAACATATTGTTACCTGGCAAACATTGAATGCATGTCTCCAATTATGATATTTTACTGGCCTGTAGTTCTTCCTTACACTGCATATCCAACGGCACAAAATCTACAAATTTAAAATAGAAATAGGTATAATTTTTAAATATTAAAAATTCCGGGTTTGCTATTTATTCGCTGCCTAATCGCAACAACTTATACTACATAAGTAAGTGATCATTAGTGTGCAGTGTACAAATATGTGATTCCAAAAAAATGTAAAAAGTCAAGTATTCTTACGTTTTTGTTTATTTTGAATCTTTCGATCAAATTTAAATCCATGAACATTCGAATCGAAGCTGTCAATGTATCATCGTCACCCAATTTTTCATCGTCAAAACCAAAGCTGAAAAGCCCCAGGCTTTTAGACGAAGGTATGATAGAATCCTAGAAAAAAGAAAACATTAAAATGGAAATCGAGAATTACGCACTTCTGAAAAGGCTATTTCATATTGTATATTGTGTCCTATTGTATATTGTGTCCTATTGTTCTGTATCTTCTCCCCGAAAACAACAAAATACGGTACTCCCGAAGTATGTCAACCAAGATGGCGGACACCAGAACGTAGTATGTGTATCAGGTTAGAGTTAGGCCATAATTTTATTCCAATTTACCTTATTTTAGTTTTATCACAAGTTCGGGGACTAGCCAAGTGACTCCCGTAGTATTTGTACCTGAAATTATGGCCTAACCCTAACCTGGTACACATACTACGCTCCGGTGTCCGCCATCTTGCTTCACATACTTAGGGAGTACCTAAAATACATCCCTGATCAGTAATTCCTACACGTTTATGAGGTTGATTCAAATTAATCAACAAAGAATTGTTATGATTAATTTTTAGATTTGACTGCTCACAATGACCAACGGTGGAATGCACAACAATAACAGATGTAGGGATTGAAATTGAATATTTACCGGCTTATATATTGATATTTAGTACACTGGGTAATAAATAGTCGGCATATCTACTAAAAAACATTTTCAATGCCCCAAAAAATGTTACCTCTATTTGTGAAGCTTCATCTAACGAACTCACTGCATGATAGGAGAGCACCTACAAAAAGATTTAAAATACAGTTATTTGCAAACAAGCCGTATATATATCATATAAATTAATCATATGCTGGAAACTGGTATTTGTCACGTGAAAATAATTATTACGCTAACTAATATGCAATATTTACCTCTAAAACGACGCTTTGCTTTGCCACCAATTTTGCCTTTTCTTCGTAAAGCGAGGCTTGACATATTCCAAGTCCACAGAATATACTGAATGCTTCCAATAACTGCTCATCACTTGTTGAAAAACATCCACCCCTTCCCAAATTCTTGTTTATTAACTGTATTACACCTGGAAAGTAAACAGTATTTACTCAGTTTAACAATATCAAATTATTTTGACTATTTGTTAAACATTATCATTTTGATTGTGAAACTATCTGGTAGAAATTCTCTTCCGATTGGCCTTTTCCCTAACCGCGTAGGTCTAGCTTGAATCAATATCAAAACCTTTATATTACCTCGGTGTTTGTTTCAGATTGTTCTATTACTGATATAAATATTTCTTATTTTATGCAAGCCATTTAGAAAAAAAATGACTCACCCATAACTTTATGCGAAGCATTTCTGATAGGCATGCATATTAAGCTATGCGTTTTAATTCCAAGCTCGGCGTCTTCCTGTAAATATTAAACACAATTTTATAATTAAGCGTAAGCACTTTTTTTTGTATAAGTCATATACAAAAAACTGTTTTTTATAAAGGAAATATATATATATATATATCATTAGTTAAATTTTCTCATCAATAATGGCAAAGTAAAGACAAACATATAATTTTTATAGGCGATCTCAAAAAACAAAGCCCAGGTCATTTGGTACAAATTCTAGAGTGAACATAACTTTTGTGCAAAGCGTCCAAGATTACTGGGACATTTTGACTCAATTATGTACAAACAGAAATTCAACCGAAATAAAAGAGTTATTATAAAAAATCATGGTTCTATTTTTTAGTGGTCACCCAGTACTAATACCAAACCTAAAAACTTCACACTTACTGAAAAACTGAATCTTTTTTCTTTCGATGCGTTGGGTATGTTAACTGCCTACAAAACCATAAAAATAAAAATAAAATAAAATTTTAATCTTAGTCCTAATCCTAATTTTAGTCAATATTTATTAAAACATTTTTTCGGTAATTTGTTAGAATTATTTGAAAATAAAAAACGTTACGTAACTACCTACGAATTATTCATTGCATTGAGCCCCCATTCCCTTAAGAGTTGGACTTATTCTCTTGTCAATGGAAAATAATGCATTTGCCTGGTCAGAGCCAAATTCCGTTGAGAGAAAATTACGTTTTTAAGTTTTGTAATATACATCCAATAGCAACCAAATTAAATATTGAAAAGTTGTAGTGATTATTTGCGACTTTGATGAATAATTTATTTCTTACCAAATACTGTTGGTTGTATTTTTTTGCGCCATAAGTTATATTTTCATCATTTACTGCGAATTTTGGTACACAAAGGAAAAGTGTTGCTTACCGTTCCTGTCTGACGCACATACATCGTGATATCGACGTTGAAAGGCACCTTGCGTCTGTTGGGTTTGACGTCAGAATCGTTGACGTCATTGTCTTCCCAATCGCCAGAAACATGCTCGAATGTTTTACTGAAAACATCTGTTAAAATATATAGTTACGATATGTAATAATTGCACATATGCTACTATACTAAGCTTGACAAATTTAATTCTTCAAACCTATTAAGTAATATTAAATTACAAAAATATGGTCACAACTGACCTCAATTTACGCGTTTGCGTTCCACTTTCGACCACATTATTATGAAAAATTTTCCTATTCTATGAAAAATTGTTTCCACTGTCAATTAATTGGGAGAGTTTTCAATTTGATAGTATCGACCAAAAGATACCTGGGAAAAATTATATCATATCTGTGTAGTGTGGCATATGGAGAACAGGATCTCAAGAAACGCGCGCTTTGACATCTGGCACAAAATTGCACTACTCTCAGCCATACTCTTGGGCAAAAAGGTAAAAGCCACACAAATGTGACAAGTATGGCAAGGCTCATACGAGTTTGGTGAGGACGGAACGGTTTTATGTTTTATTAATTACATTTATTAGTCTCAGAATTGGATAATGCCGTTTTTTCATTCACATAATCAGTAACAGCTGTCAGTTTTACAATAGGAGCAGACAAATAAGAAAAAATATAGCCAAGTTCATGAATGCAATCCGTTTTTTAATTTGATTTAGGTGGCGTAGTGGACATGGTTCCTGATTGATCTCATGTGCAATTTATTAGACATATCGTCGTGATATCTGGGGAGAAACGAACCGCACTCACTGTCAGCTTCTGAAGATACTAGCATAACAGATGCTCTTTCACAATTCAGCAATGAAGTAGTGTGCAATAATATTGTTTCCATGACCAGATTCAACGAGCTTTGTTCCTCGAAAAGTACTTTTGTAAGATCGAGAAGAACCTAGAATGAATTGCATAAAGAGTAAATGTCAAGTGTAAATGCATTTTACGTTCAATTTCAATTTTGGTTTCAGGGTAATTGCGTGTATTTAGAAACTTGCAAATTGGCGAAAACATAAGAGGCCAATACCTACCTTTTTGGGGCTAATGTGATTTAATTAGTTGGGATATCTATTTAACATGGAGCACAGTATAGATAAAGATGATGGGTGAGTCATGGATACCAGTTTAAATTGACAAAGACCAGCAGGAAAAATAGTAGCCAAAATCACGTTATTTTATTATGTGCCAGCCCAAAGCCATCCGTACACATTACTTTATTATCGACATGTACGATACAGGTGTAATTTAGTATCGCCGGAGCTTTAAAAGCAATTCCAATAAATATGTAGTCGGCCTTGAATTGAATATTAAAGGTAGGGCCACTAAAATGAAAAGATGATCGAATTAAACTTGAAAATAAATTGTGTAAATACTACAGACTCAGCTTGAATGAAGTATACTCAAGCCAATTGCTTTATGAACAAGAATCGATTCGGATTTGGTAACTATTTTAGGGTAATTAAAATGAAACAAAATAAAACTGATTTAAAAAAATAACGTTACCTCGTTTCTCCTGTTTTCAAGTTGAGATTTTTCAAATATTTGTGCGTTGTGAATAGCAATCCCACAAAATCCAAGATACGAAGCAAATATCTTCTCATCCCTCTCAGTAAAAGCGCAATAAGAATTACCATCTATATGTTGTTTGTTTATTACTTGAGCCACACCAACAATCTATTGAAATGATATTCTCAGAAAATGAAATTGGCATTACACACTGCACGAGCGTCTTCATTTAGATAGACATTATATCAGAGGCATAAAAAACAAAAAACAAAATTGAAGAAATTTATTAATACATATAAAATTTGCGATCAACAAATAACCAATCTGGTATGTCATTTCAGAAAAACAGTTTATATTGCTATACGTTAATTCTACAGGAGAAGCCAAATATTGAACATAATGATTTTTTATTGTGCTCGCTTTTAGTGTCTCGCCTTTTCTTTGTGAGTTATCTTTAAATCATTGGGCGCGAGAATCTGAAGAACTAGTATAGGTAATACTACCGGATTCGCCACTCGTATAATACGCTGCGATAATAACGTGTGCATTCTTAATCTTAGATGACTGAACAAACTCAATAAATATAATCCGTTTTATGGTTCCGCTCACACACATTCCACTACATCTTTTACGACCTTACGATTGATTTTCAAACAATATTTGATAATTCAAGGTGACTGGCATAACGATTGTAAAATTTTATTGCGTATTTTACAATGACTATAAAATAAAAGATTTACAATTCGAAACTTGAATGATTTATAAGAACATGGCGTAAAGTGCATAGATGGTTGAATTTTAGTTGTGTTACTGCTATGACAATTACGAATATCTACATATGATGTTATATCTATATAATATTGCTACTTTGTTGGCCGAGATGACTTAAACTATTTCAAGTGTTATGTATACTAAGGAGTTAATATTTTTAAAACTTAGCGGACGCTATAACTCAGTTTCTGTAAGACTACTTGTGTGCAAAACCCTTGCATGCAAAGCAAAAAATACAGTAGACGTTATTTGAAAAATTTGATACCTAATTCCGCCTATAATAACTCACCCTTTTTACGCTATCTCGTATCGGCATACATAATATACTCCTGGTGATATAACCAGTCTTTTTATCAACATCTTGATTGAATCTGGAATCCTGAGAAACATAAAATTATTACATTTAGATTTGTCAGATTTCTGGACATGATATGAAACTATTCGAACAAAATTGCCTTTGTAACATCCGCCCGGTGTCTCAAAAATACCGTGTCCCATTTGTACCCTTTTAGAACACTTGTTCCACTCGCCACACTTGTCCCACTTTGCCATACTTGTATCGAACGAATAAACGAGAATATCGGTCGGAGACCAAAGACTTATCGATCGAAACTGCGGTTTCGATTCATGATTCTATAGCGACACCGCGTGTCCCATCACTAATTAATTAATAACTCGCTAATTATACGACATAATTCATCGAAAATAGGCTTCTGGTCCGAGATATGATGAACCCACATGCAAAATTTGGAGTAGATTCAACCACGCTTTCGTGAGATATCGCGTACATCTAACAGACAAACAGACAGACAAACAGACAAATACCTATCAACATACTTACCGATCTGAAGATCGATAAGTAATAAAGCGTATTTTGCAAAGATGCAGAATAGTTCATCCATTAAAAAACGATATTTAGTTAACACCAATTTACTTTATAAGCTTCTGGAATATTCAATGTCTTTCCTGTCAAAGCAACAACTCCTGCAATTCCTTGTCCAAGGTCGATACGGATTTCATTAGAACGAACCATGGTATCTTCAAGGGACGAATCCTGGATAACAACGAATTATACCAAATATAAAGATTACAGTGCATTACAGTGTATTGACAAAGAGACATCCAAATGTAAATAACATGGAAGATTTGTCAGTATCCGATCTGATTTTTGTTGGTAAACATACTTGAACTTCTATTTTCAAGAATTAACAAAATTAGGAACAGAGATGAATGCATGATCATCTATTTGAATGGTCTTCCATATAAACGGTCTGTTGATTTTGGGGGCAGCCAATCATATACTATAGTGACTTAGCCCACATAACACCCAGTAATATGATTAAATCGGAAAAATAATCGATTTCGAAATCAATAAACCCATTATAATAAAACTTTCCCATTTTCAATTTTAATTATCAGACTATATTAAAATAATAATAGAGAATAAGATTGTTATTTTGACAGTTCATCAATTTCTCTTACCTTATTTACATCAAACAATCGACTGACCAAAAATTTTTCTCCGTCTTTCTCTCGAATTAAAAAGAGAGAACATCTGTCTGCTTCGAGTAGGATGCTGACATTCTAAACAAAAAATAACGATTTTTTTACGATAAGATTCAAGTAAAAAGCACGGCGGTGGACGTTACTGGTATTCTCTATTTAGGATTTTACTGTTATGGCCAGTAATGCCTTCCTAATTATGATAAGGTATTCACCGTATAGTATTGAAGTAACTGAATACTTTGGTGAATAATTAGGTACGCTACAGTTCAAAACAAGCATAAAAGACTTTTTAGTTGCCCACTTATAATATGCTCACATACATATTTACACATATATACACATTTAATACATATATATGAATGGATAATACATATAATATACATATTTATATATAATGAATACTATATAATACATAATATCAATATTATACTAATAGTTAAAAAAGACACAATAAGTTAGCCTAAATTCGCGCAGTGGTTCATGTAGCTCATTTTAGTTATAACACATTACTCAGACGTTACGTCGACAGTGAATTGACCGGTTGTAAATGACTCTCATTTATCATTGAGTTTACTGTTTTTTTTTTTCTAAATTTCCCAGATGTCATTGTATAGTTAGAAATTTCTATTTTATTTATTTTACGATTCTTATCACATTATTTTAATTTTTATCTTTACGATAATCGATACTGATATAGCTGGTCTGTGTTTGTTGATAAACAAACAAAAATTATGACGCAAGAGAATGAAATTCATCACGTACTGACGCAGGGTATTTTTTCTATTTTAATCCTGAAAGCAGGCAAGCATAAAGCATGTTCCATCGGTTTATCGCGCCGTTTAGTCGTGAACCATACTTGATTGTGCTTTATATGTTTCCTTCGAGAAAAGACGGAACGGAATTATGGAACTGTACCGATATATCGGTATTGCATTCTTAATCGTCTGGATGAATTAGGTATCGAATATTAGTTGTATTGTCTATTTTGATCATGTTGTGATTAAAATGAATAAATAAATTAATATTACTACATTCTGTTGTGCCGGTAAGCTAAGCAACAGTTATTGAGTAATTTGGGCGCACTCATTTTCTGTTTATCTATGGGGCAACAACCTGAGAATAAGACCAAAATAGCGATTGATTATCAGGCTCTAGTAGAGTCTCTGAGATCTACAATCAGTAATGTTGTATTTAGAGTGCTACATACTAAGCCTACTTACAATTCCTTACTTTTTAACACCTTAATAATTTACGTTTTAATCATATATAACAGCGAACCTGCAATATACGGTGACTGACTGAGGTAATATCTAAGTCCATCGCAATGTCTTTTACAAGTTCCATGATCATATCTCGTTCGTCTATGATCGAAAGTCCCGAGGATGTTTCTGCTGCAGTTGCTTTGTCCATATGATAATGAGAAATGCGACGAGTCTTGCTTTCTGTGACTCTTTTGACTGAGGAAGATCTGTATTTGTATTGAAATTAATAGATGGAAAGCATGTAGAAAATAGAGAGCAGTGATCGAAAATATACCACATGCTGTTAAACTTTCACTACAGATTTTGGTCGTAAATGCGTAGGTGAGATAAACAACACCAGGGGTGGGGTAAAATTTTTTTTGCATGGATCGTATCCAGAACCCCTTTTTGTAGAGAGAGGCATGTAACACCACAGTTACTATTTCCATTGGCTATGACGGTGTCGAATTTAATGGTATTCGTGAGTTTTGTTCAAGCCTTGAAGGGGCGCATACGGCCCAAAGGCTGCTATATAAATCGTTCATTACTGGACTACGCCGTGAGGGAAAAGATAAGTGAATAAAACAAATGCTTAGTGGTCGTGGTTTTTGGGGCGAAAAATAGATTTTTACATATTTGTAAATTTAAAATACTTAGAAATTAAATGAAACGAGTCTCATTCCACATTACGCAACTATATTTCTGTAATTTTTCCCCTTACCAATTGCGTTCACGCTACAGAATCCTTGCATTATACGCTGCGCATATAAGAAGAATGAATAGATATTTATGCAAAAACATCATTTGTAGCAATCTTAGAGTTGAAACTCTAGAACTAGGCCTTCGTGGTATCTCATATGTTCTTAAAAATGAACTATTTTCTGCTGTGATACTCTACAAACTAAATGTTAAAGACATGAAAATGTCAGAGAACAACTCACAGATTTTTAATATAAGCAAGATTGTTTCATACAGCTCACCTGCGTGCTAGAATAGGTGATGTTTCTGCCGGGGCATAAAAACTAGGAGAACCCAGCTGGTCTTTTGATATCATTGGTTTGAGTGGAAGATGTTTCGGGTTGATTTCCTCTGCTGACACCTTGCGCATTGGTGTCTTCCGGCCAGTGCTTCCAGAATCACTTTTTGGCGAAATCCCACCATCCTCCTTCTTAGCTAGAAAATTAAAACAAATAAATAAAATTAAATCTTCACTTGAAATCGGTTTAGAGAATAGAATATAACAAGATTATGAAGGGTAACTATCAACCAATAATTACTAAATACTCAAAATGTTCAAATACCACAAGAAGCATATACTGTATTCGAATAGCACGTAAGTCGCCTGACGATCTTTAGATTTTCGAATCAATATAATATCACTGTTTGGAAATTATACTTTGTGACTGATATATGCATGTGGATATTATTATTTAAATCGATGTAAAACACTTAACGGTAACATTACAACTCCAACCTCGAATAAGAAAAATAAAAAATAAAACAATTTGTTGGACTTATTTTTCTGATAATATACAGACTTCTCAAAACAACCGCTTCAGAATCTGCTGTTTACCGAATTATTACTTTACAGATTTTGTATTTATATTATAGTATATAATTTTTGTACAATGGGGCTTGTATTCTTTTTGTGGACAACATAAGAATGAGTCCTGCCTCAGCCAGCCTCTATTCTCGTACAAGTAACGCGCTGGTTTTTAAGGTTAGTGTTATTGAGCAAAATAAAAGCTTGCTTGTTTGCATCGTATGTAACGACGTAGTATGCAAATTTCTTTATAATAATTACTGAAAATAGCAAAAATGTAGATGTGTCTTGGGCAATCTGATCGATTTACTACAGCGAGTATGATAAATTGGATTTTGGATCAATTCTTATCCCCAATCTTACGAATGATGTATGCTAAAATATAGAGACATATAAATCAAAGGTGGGGGAGTGAACAAATGAACAAGATACCCACTTCCTAGGCATGCGTATCTCGTTTTACTGGGGTCATGGGCTGGCTGGGCTCTTACCGCTACTTACTCTTTTATTTTCAATTATTCCCAACACCCAATAATAATCAACCATTAATAGTTGTTATCTTATCATCGAGACACGAGCTCTTGATCGAAATGCTTCATTAACATATTTTACTTTAAACATAACGATAAAGTTTCAAAACTTCAAACCACATTTGAAGTGAAAAATGCAAAATTATTCCCGATGACGTCATCAAAATGCCAATTAACAACTTTTAATTGTGAATGATTGTGTTGAAAAGATATGAATCTTACTAGGACCACCAATATGAAACACTAAAACAACTTTAGAGATTAACGAATTAGACATTTTAAGTGCGTTTGCGTATTGGATCTCACTTCACATTGACACAACAGTCTTTAAGTGAGCATGAAATCCATCTGTCATTTTTCGTTCTATATCTATGGTTTACGATTTCTAACAATTATTAATTGTTATTGTCTTGATCCACCTGCATGCATTTCCGATATTTATAACAATATAACACAAAAAGAATCAAATTTTGAACAATTATATTACAGTACTTGATGGAACCTTCGCTAGTCCACCTGGCAAACTCCTTCTGTATTCACTCACTGCAAGATTGATCACACGATCTGCCAACCAATTGTTTACCATTGTTCGTGTTCCCTTTTTCAGAAAATATTCGTGTGTAAATTCAGGATGGTCATCCAACCAAGCTTCTGTAAATAAATGATAATTGTCGCAATCATTTTTATATTACGAGTTAGGCTATACATTCTGCACTCAAGTTATATGATATTACTTTGTAATTTGTATGTTTGCTTATTGGAGCCAACAAGATAGCGTCAAAAGACCAGTCGCTATATTCGATATTGCCTTATTGATATAGACGAAATCAACCAAATTCACCCACTTCAATCTGGGAATGTCAATATTCGTATATTTAGGTAGTCTATTGAATTTTGCTCTTCGTATATTCTAAACACTTCTAATTTGCTGTAAATTTGCGACATACGCACAATTTTACTTACACTTTCAGATACATTTGGCATAAATGGAATTTATATAATGAGATTTATATTTCAAAACGCAATTTTTTCAGTAATAACATCAATTTTGACTAAACTCGTGAAAAAACAATGTTTGAAATTAAAACTAATTTGTTGGGACAATTATACTTTGGTGGGTGGTTCAAAGTCTTGCATCACACTTTCACAACTTTATTTGGGGCTCCAGAAGTATGCGCACCAAGATGTCGCATAGCCTGAATCCTAACCGGTACACACATACTATGTTCAGGTTGTGCGCCATCTTGGTGCGCGTACTTCCTTTGTATAATGTTTCTTCTGACGGAAGGTAAACTCTCAGACAAGCAGTACACAACAATTTATAATGTGAATAAATTTTTCAGGATCAGTGCTATAACAATAAAAGATAGGGACCATTGCTAAAATTCATATAGGCATTATGATGTTCTCGATGAGACCTTTGCGTTGTAACCCCGCAACCATTATCATAAATTGCGTTTCCTCGTTTAAAGTCTGGCTCATTAAATTGCTTTATAGGTCAAAAGTAAACCAAGCGCACTTACCCACGACAGCTGGATCCAGTTCCATCATGGTTTGAGTGTTCAATTCGTCTTGAATAAAAACTCCAATATTTGCTTTACGTCAATTTTTATCACTTCATCAAAAATACTACCTAATGCATGAAGCTATGTTCCCTGGATAATGCAGATATATTGAAAAGTCATTGGTTTGCGCAATTGCAAAGCAAACAAAACATATCGTAGCCCCAAATAACTACCGATATCATCCACTACCGGCAATGGTTAATTAATGAGAAAATTGTACATTCGAAAAAAGGCTGCGTGCCACAAGGTATTGTGAAAAAGTGCGATCGCGAGTAAGTAAGTTACAAACAAAAAAAAATCGAGATTCCTTCCTATTATTCATGTTCATTCACGCACTTGATTTGAGAAGTAGGCTCATGGTCTACGTTTATAGAAGTATGATGTATCGATTCACATTTTCAATGTAAGGGCATAATAACACTTCTTGGTTCAAAATTTGACGGAATGAGTATTGATATATTTCTTAATCTGAATAAACTGCCTAATTAGCCTCAAATGCGTACACTTTGGTTGAACACAATCCCTTTTAATCATCCTCTTTGACGTACGAAGAAAATCCGCTTAATTACCGTGAACCTTTATTATACATCTGTTCAAACCAAATGTTTGTTTCAACAACGCAGCATTAGAAAAGTAAAGGTATACCACGATCTGAATAGCGAAGTGAGGGTGGTCTTCAACCGACATCGTAAATTAGAAAAATAAACAAAGGAAGTAGCCATTCTAGTGAAAACTACAATCTTCAACAATGCACTGAAAATTTTAAAGCAATTCATCCAGTAGTTAATGAGAAAGCAATTTTATTTATTTAAACAACAAAAATTCTAACAACAACCATAACAACAACAACATAATAACATTGTCTGTTGAACATCTTATTGAAGGCCTACAGGTAGTAAGTAATATATCGTAATCAAAATCTCGCTCGTATTTCATATTTTCAATTAGCATTTACCAAACTCAATGCCTAGTAAAGCCCTTAACTGCGGGTGTGTGAATCAAGATTTAATAAATCAATAAGCTGTCATATAGATTATCATTCAATAATCAATTTCCTCTTCTGTGGTGCCGAAGTAAGTGCCCATCTTCCATGCGAAGAGCTGCCAATTTTGCATTACAAAATTTTATTTTTAAACTTGATTGCAGACATTTAGAACAGTAATAAGAAAAATCCGATTGTGTTATTATATGTAGCAATGCATGTGTTGCAATGTATTAATCTAAGCTTTTCGGATGGCGCCAAAATAGAAGGCGGCGCCTAGTCCCGTTCTGTAGAATATGCACGAAATACCAAGTCCGGAAAATCAATCAATTGATCGTACAACGGACCAGGCACTAGGGGATATATTCATAAAATTCACACTTTTGCATAGTCTACATCTTTCCATAATGTTCTTACCCTGCCATAAAAACTTCAATGTTTGACCATATGGGCACTTCTCACGCAACTTATGAACGACTCTTTCGCTAGCTGCCCCTTCAAATTTTGCTGAATACGATATGTCCTCAAATATAATATTTAACATCTACATTGAACAATATAAAGCAGCATCTATTTTCGTAAGTTACATCAATTCATTTAAATAAAATAACATTCGAAACACGTGCCCTGTAAATCGTTGCTAAATTTATGAGGTCTAAAATAACGTACGTCCTATTCCTGCAGCCTGCGAGTTGAAAAGCTTATTAAATCTACCGTTGTCTTTCATTTGAACAGAAAAAGAACGTCATATTTGAAATAAAAAATATTGATTTTTGCGTAGTCGACAGGAAGGGACGACGAAAGAAAATTGATTTTCTTGTTGGCGTATGACGTCAATACTCTGATTTAAAAGTAATTACAGTAATGAAAATGTCATATGAAATTATATTTTCTGTCTCTTGGTCGAAATATGGGAAAAAGGCAGCTGCCAAACCTCAACAATGTGGTCTATAAAGGTCTTGCAAATAGACCACAATGCTGAAAGCTTGGCGATCGATGACTTCGGATTTTTTGCAAAAAGTTGCATCGGCAGTGTGAACAAAAATGAAATCAAATGACCAAAAAAGCACCACAGCAGGTTGAAGGTCGAAGGTTGTGGCAATGTACTTTTTCTCATCGCGCTCGGGGTGACAGATTCAAAACCAGTGGCTAATGGTATTGCTACCTAACCATTCAGATTAATCAGTCATATCAAATTTATTATTTGCACAACCCACCCAACTAGTAACCGGACTATAGCGCGAAGATTTTGATATGAATAAGATCTCATCCGCCTTTTTCTTTCTTGCAAAAAATTTGAAAGTGGTATCAAAAATACAAATTGTTGAAATATTTATTAAAAAAAGGTTTTAGGGAAGATTCAAATCCGTCCTAAGTACATTTGATTAGATACCAAAAATTTGTAAGAAGAAACTTATTACGTTGTACTGCGAAAATAACCATGAAAGCGAATTTTTTTAATTTCCAGTTTAACCCAACGTAATTTTTCCGTAATAATTAAATACGGTTGAATACAAAATCTTTGATTAGGTATTTGTTTCACGGAAATATGATTCAATAAAAGCGGTTCCCTTGTGAATTCGCTGGAAGTATTGATCTGAAGAAAACTGAAAAGTAATTATGAAATATTTGACATCAAATCGCAATGGAAGTCAAATATACACAGATAAAGTATAATCGAATATAATATAAAAAACATTAGATACTAATATGGCGTTTTCATCCTACCGCATTCAGCCTACTACAAGAAGTGGCATTTCAGCACGTGTTGCATCGATTCAAAATGGCATAGTTATGTCGGACATAGCGTTTGCACTGAGGCTCATTTGAGTCATTTCGGGAAGGATAATCACAAATATATTGGTTTTATGATTCCCAAGATGACCATAAGCAGAGGTCGGCAACCTACGGCCCGCATCCGGCCCGCGGAGTAATATAATCCGGCCCGCGACGCTCCACTGATTTATAGTAACAAAACTGCTGTTTGGCCATAAATATACGTAACAAAATTTATTGTTAGACACGTGTAGACTAAATTATATTATAATCTAACAAATATAAAATTCAAAATTACTCGTTTAAATGAGCCTATAATTTAATTATGATTAGATAAATGGCAACAAAACGAAGAAAAGTTGATGTTGGTGCAAAGGGTTCAATGGCGCCGAAAATATTCAACTTGAATTTTTTGAGATGCAATGCAATGAGGAAATAAATCTATATTCTATTCGAGAAATGTATCATATCTTGATTTTTATTATAAAAAGTATCATCCGTTTGGTTTTCAACTTTCTAAAAATATGTGAGGCCCGCCAATGACCTGCCACCCTTAATTTTGGCCCGCGAGCGACAAAAGGTTGCCGACCCCTGCCATAAAGGCTATTTGAAATGACAAAAAAATCTAAAAACTTTAGGGATTTCAGAAAGGTCGCATTGAAAATGACCGCCAGTGGCCAAGTTCACTTCCATCAAGCTGCTAAAACGATTCATTTGAGTTATTTAAACTCAGGCTCCTGGTTAGGGAAGTACAAAGTAGGGTCGTTCATTGCTATCATTTTTATGTAAGTGAATTCCATAAATATAACGTGTTTTTAATGTGACGCAATTACGAGATTAGTGATCAGTTGAGTATATCACTAAATTAATAAAAGTTAGAATGAAGTATGCGCGGATTTATGTCTTTATGTTATCATTCAAAAAGTAGGTTTGGGAATTCGAGGCCGTATTTTCCGTATATAAATCATATTTTTACGTATCCCTAATATTCCGTGAAAGAAATAACGAACTCAGAACTTCATCGATCACTTGATGACTAAAATTTTCTAACTAGATTACATGATAATTGAATTATCAAACAAGCGAATCTTTTCAAAAATTGACAAGCAAATCTGATTTTACAGATCAAAGTTTTTCAGGCAGTGTACTGTAAGTGTTTAACGATTTTGACGCAAAATCACAACTACATTAGGCCAAAAACACGCTAATTGAAAATCCGCTTATTCTTGTATGGTAACATAAAAGCCGACTCGGTCCAGAGTTAGAGTTATCTGAAAAGCTTGTATTAATGCATTGAAACACATACATTGATATATATAATCAAACAATTGGATTTTCCCTATTATTTTTTTCAAATGTCTGAATTTTGTTAAAATCAAGTTTAAAAATAAAATTTTCTAATGCAAATTGGTAGCTTTTCACATGAAAGATGCGCATTTCGGCGACACAGATAGGAAAATTGATTATTGGATGATAATCTATGACAGTTTATTGATTTATCACAGCTTGATTCACACGTTCGCAAATACTTGCTTTTTGAACTCGAGGTTTGGACTTTGAAAAAAAGAAAATATAAGTTCAAATTAATCAAGTTTTTTTTTTCATTTTGAGCAACCAACTTGGTCGCGAGAATCAACCATTTAACAACAATATTTTACTCCGTGAAATTTGACATAAAATTATGATGACACTGTGAAAATGACTATAGAGTCTTACAGAAAGTTACTACCATTGTATCTTGTAAACACCATTGCCAAATGACGTTTTTTATGTTCCTTCAAACATATATGTTGACTAGTCTCAAATACACCAAACAAATATTCTGAACTATACTGTTTTAGGCCTACGTAAGTGCTGAAATATAATGTATAATATCAACTGGAGCAAACCAAAAATAGAAAGAAGTTTAAGCAAAACTTATTTAAAAAAAATTGAAATTGTTCTACTCTATTATTTTAGTAATAGGGTCAAATTTTACTCAAAAACACCTCCTTTTTTACTTTCATTCAAATGAATTAAATACGCCGTGTTCCTATCACATAACGCAATAATATTGAACAAAAACATGGCCCACTCCAATATTCGATTTACAATGCCAAATTCATCAGCTCATGAGGAAAAGCAATTATCGTAGTGCAGTGATTTTCAATTCCAGTTTGAATATATTATAGGAATGACACCAGCAGAACAATAATTTTGAACTCGCCGAGTGAGTAACCACAGAGTCCCACGGAGACTTGATTATGCCTGCCCACTCATTCACCTATGCCTGATCTTCAGTGATAAATCCTTGACGTAATCTGACTGACGTTGTACGCGACCTCACTCAAATCTCCAGAGGGATCTGTTTCTACGCAGTT